AGAAAAAAGATAGCGCAGCTGCAACTCTGCACCCAATTTCTAAAGCTTCATACATTGATGAAAGAAAAAAAAGGGAACCCATTTCATTGACTAAATAAAATCGTTTGACGAATTAATTAACTCCCATTAATTTCCAACCTTTCATCGACTGTTTCCATAAACTCGCCGTCCTTCTCCAGCGCCCAGAGCGTCTCCGGCGGCAGGCAGACTTCCACCTCCACGCCGCCACCGTCGGCCGCCCCAAAAATCGTCACTTTCCCGTCCCGCTTTTGGGCCGCCTTCCCGCTCCTCACCCCCACGGGCCTCCCCCACCCAAAATCATTCCCGTACACGTCAAACCTGGGTGAGCTCAAGACCAGTAAATTCGAGCTCCCCATCACGATCAGCGCCGGGCTTCGAGCCCATTCCTCTATGAAGCCCAATACGGCCTCCGCTGTCCCCTGTTGGGCCACAAGAGCATTGAGCTTGAGCCCAATCCGGCCCAGCCCGTCCCCGAGAAGCTCGGTATCGCTTAAGGCAAGAAAGCAAACAGAGATCGCGTTCCCAAAATACCCCTGGGCAGAGGAATCCTGCCCCTGGCCCCAATCGCCAGAGCTAACCGTTGGACGGCCGTGGTCTGGCTGCGGATTCTCCGGCAGCTGGCCACGCACCGCCACAAATGGGCCACAAGCGCTTGGAAGGACGATATTTGGCTGCCGGCGGCTTCTGAATTAGCCCTGGCCTTGATTCCGGCCAGTTTCTCCTTGCTCAGGTGGAAAACCCGCTCAAGTAGAGGCGGTCGGACGATTTCCGCCACCGTGCTGCCGTCGAACATGGGCACGGGGACATTGGGGAATATGCGGTCGAATGAGGGCAATTTCGAGATTTCACTGTTGCCGCGGGATATCTCCGACCAGGAGCAGATCAGGTGCCAGAAGGAGGTCCCGTCCACCACCGCGTGGTTAGCCGTGCACCCAACGAACAGGCCGTCTTTGAGATCTGTGACCTGGACGGCGAACAGTGGGTCGGAGGATCCACAGTACCGTAATTAACCAATTCAAGCGTTCAGAACATACAGCATTGCGTTCACACTAGGGGCGGTACCGTAATTAATCAACTCAAGTGTGAACGCAACAAATAAACCAATTAATCACGGTACCGCCCTAGTGTGAACACTCGCAAGTATATAAGCATCCTCGTCAACACTCGGAAGTATATAAGCATCGGAAGTTGCGGGACCCGTTGAGTGGGAAAAGGGAGTAGACGATTTCCGGCGTGTACTTCGCCTCCAAAATGTCCGCCACCGATACGCCGGCGGCAACGGCGTGGGTAAAGCTGGCGCCTTTATTGTTGCAGTCGACGAAATAAACGGCTGTGTTGTTGTTTTCGCTGCTGTTTTCGGTGGAGAGGCGGCCGGCAAGCGGGGGGAAGTGGTCGAGCGCGCGGGAGAGTGAGGTTTTCAGGCGATGGATGACGTCGATTTGTTTTTCAGGTTTGTGAAAAAGAATTCCCTTTTGGATGGGTTCGAGGAGGAGCATCTGCAGGTCCCATGGAGTTAGATCCAGACGGGACATAGGCACTGTATCGGCTGACGCCATGGGAACGAGAGTTGAAGATATTACCTCCAATTTTGCCATTCTTTACTTTTTTGGGTTTTTGGAGAGATGATATTGGACCAAGGAAAATGAAGGGAAAGGTTGAGAAGATGAGATTGCACAAGCCTATTTAAGGAGGAAAAAATAAAAAAATTATGTCCAAATTTTTTTGTGAACATGACATTATTTAAAGGAAAAAAAAAATAGAAAATCTTGGAGAATGAGAATTTATGCACTAAATTGCTAAACACCGCACCATTTTTATTATTTATCGCTCCTCTTTGACCGTTTTGCTTCTAACAATTCTTTTATTTAGAAAAAATACGGCCGACTGACAATATTGGCCTGATTGCCGCCGGCCGGCCGTCGATTGCGATCACGCTCGACGGCAGTCGACTGATTCGACGGTCAGTCCGATGGTCGGTCGGCCTAATCGGTCGACTGCGCCGTGTGCTACCGCAATAGCCGGCGGTCAACGGCGGTCCGGCCGGCCGTGGTATTTTTTTAATCATTTTTTTTGTTTACATTATTATGATTTTAGAAATTATTATGTTATAAATTAGAATTTATTATTTTATAGAATTTATTATCATGTTATGACTTAGAAATTATTATTTTATAAATTAGAATTGATTATCTTATAAAATGATTTATTATCTCAATGTGTTTGCTTTCTGTTAAATAGAGCTTAAGCAATAATGTGTTTGTGGATTTGGGCATTGATTTTAGTCTCTGAACCTTAAAATAGTTATCAAAGTGTGGATCGCCATTATGTACACCAACATTGCCTCCAATTATTTTTAAGCCCATATAAAATTGTGGCTGGCTTATGTGGAGCTGGCATTCTTACAACTTACAAGTTTTTCTCATTATTGTAACTATTTTTTTTTACTTTGTTGCCACGAGAAATGGAATGGAGAAGGCTCTGAATATATAGTGAGTAGGGTACTTCAATGCGATGCTAATGTAACACAATTTGTAATTCAAAAGTCATCGCCATTAAAGCACCAAAAGTAATTGGCTGGTAAGCTGAAAAACACGAAGCAGCTACTATATATATAAGGTGCAAATTCAGGCACCCGAATTATCTATAAATAGACCTCCACCGAGCATTAATTAGTATACAGTAGATTAGGATAGCAAGTTGATTAATTGACATAAAATACGTAGTTAGACTGTTAGACATCTTGAGGGTGATTGCAAAACTAGATGAAAAGAGGAATTGAAGAGGATTTACACAACTCATTATGTAAATCATTCAGGTATTGTAGCTTCACTCTGAAATGTTCTTTGGTTTGTGTCCTTGTTTTCTGTTATTATTCCCTTCAGAAAAAGAGCTATATAATCCCACAACATTTGTGGATTTAAGCATTGACTCAAAATCCTTGAACCTTAAACAATTATCTGTCGAATTTTCTCTCCTCTGAGGCATTAGTGCCACAGTTTGATCTTTCCAACTCGTAAAACTTGGTTCTCATAAATTTTTTGAGTCACAAGTATGATATTTATCTTTTATCTTATTTTCGCGGCCAAAGTTACCGTTTTGTATTCATTTCTATGGATAGTTTGCAAAATAACTTAAAATAAATATATACAAGACTTTGATTCTCATGGTGCTTCCACTGTGCAGTTATGTTGCCAAAAAACGAAAACAGGACAAAGTATAGTGCTGAGACTGTCACTCGTGTTCTTTTCTGTGGACCTTATTTCCCTGCATCTGAGAATATTACGAGAGAGCATTTAAAACGCTATCCATTTGTGGAGGTGCTTCTTATTCTTGGATAACACTTTAACTATAAAAAATCAATAAAATTGATCGAGGTTTATTTACGTCTTGTGTTGTGTGTTTCAGGTGGATGTGGTTCCCTTTGAAGATGTCAAAGATGTGATTGGGAAGTATGATATGTGCATCGTAAAAAATATGAAGCTGAGTTCGGATATCATTGCTAGAGCAAGCAAAATGAAGCTAATAATGCAAAATGGAGTTGGGATAGAAGGTTTTTATTATCAGTATCTAGCTAGTGAATTTCTATGACCTACACATATATATGATTTAGCTTTATATTTTTGTTGCATGAAGGTATCGACATAAGTGCTGCAACTAAGCATGGAATTAAGGTTGCAAGGATCCCGAGCCATGGCACTGAAAATGCATATTCATCTGCTGAAATGGCTATCTATCTCATGTTGGGCCTCCTTCGTAAGCAAGTATGTCTAATTCAATATCAAATTTTTTCTGACAGCTTCAAAATAATAAAAAAAAAATCTTGTCGATCGATTTAAAGTTCTCCACCGAGATCTAAATGAAGTTAGTGCATACGAACTTTAAAAATTGTTGTTTCATCTATATAATTTTATTATTTTTTCTTTCAGAATGAAATTCCAGTTGCTGTGAGGGAGCAAAACCTTGGAAACCCAATTGGCAACTCGTTGATGGGAAAAACGGTTAAAATCGTTTACTATAAACTGCATTTCGATTTATCCACATTTGATCCACATCTTTTTTTTTTTTTTTGGCTGATGATTTCATGCACGTGACGAATAACTATTCCTAATTTTCGTGCAGGTATTCATAATGGGGTTGGGAGATATTGGCGTTCACTTAGCGAAGCTTTTGAGGCCCTTTGGTGTGAAAATCATTGCTACCAAAAGGAGTTGGTCTACACGTGATGATGATGATCTTGTGGAAGAGAAGGGCTGTCCTCCGGATACTCTAAAGTTTGCAAGTCGTGCTGACATTGTTGTCTGTTGTCTTACAATGAATAATGAAACGGTAACAGAGCTTTTCCCCTGTTTTCATTGCATTATAGTTTTCCACATAAGTATTGTTTATTTTTGCATCCTGTTGCTTTCAGGCTGGTATTTTGAACGAGACATTCATATCTTCCATGAAGAAGGTTTGTCGGCTTCATTTTGGAATTTTGTCGACCCATAAGGATTTTTACGCTTACAGCTTCAACATATTTGATTATGTACGATTAATTAGGGGGCTTTCCTGATAAACATAGCTCGAGGGGGGTTAATGGATTATGAAGCCGTGTTTCGAAATCTGAAATCGGGCCACTTAGGAGGCCTGGGAATTGATGTTGCCTGGTCCGAACCGTTTGATCCGGATGACCCTATTTTGAAATTCCCGAACGTTATATACACGCCTCACATTGCTGGAGCTACTAAAGAATCATATGAATCGAGGGCCAAGGTGAACGTCTCAATAGTGCTCTCCATGTGTGTGTGTATGATATATAGATATATCAGATGTTCATTTATGAATATGGGTCTGCAGGTTGTTGCTGATGTTGCCCTTCAGCTCCATGCCGGGAAGCCTGTGACCGACTTGCTTGGGGTCGAAATTGTCAATTGACCATCAACTGTTCGAAATTCTCATCTTGTCAAAGCTATCGGAGAAGTCTGGGAACGACAGTTGACCCTCAGCTCGGTCGAAGGCAATGGAAAAATATTGATAAGCTGCGGGCATCAATTTGTCATGGAACACACAGTCCAGCTGAAGAAACGGTCGATGAGCTCGCTGTGGTAGGATTCCATGGAGATAGAAGAGATAAAAACACTCAACAAAAAAAAATTAAAACTACTCCATTCAAGGAGACTTATATTAAAATACTATAATTTTGTTTCTTTTAAAATGAAGATGCTCAATTACAACGGCAGCCATATTGACATATCGTATACGCATTTGATACAGGAAAATACACATCCATGATACGTCGGAATATATAAGCTATGTATATATATATATCTCTGTGTCTCACATACATTTTTCTCAGCATAAAACCCAAGGGAATAAAGATCCAATAATGCACAAATAATAAGGAATCAAACTTACATTGCTTTCAATATTTAAGAAAAGTACATCCTCTCACACAATCCAAACAAACAAATAAACACATCAATTCTTAAGTAATAAAGACGAAACTTTTTTATATATTCAGAAACAGATCAAATTAAATGACTTCCATGAACTCAACGTCTTCTTCCAACGCCGCCATAACCTCCGGCGTCAGGCAGACCTCGACATCAACCCCATCCCCTTCGGCCGCCGTGAAAAGCGTCACTTTCCCATTCCACTTCTGTGCCCTTCCCGTCCTCACCGCCACCGCCTTCCCGAGCCCGACATCCCCTATGTTGAGTCAAAAGGGCTGCGCCCATTTCATTTGACAGCAGACAAATGAAGAAAAAATTGAAAAGGAAGCAGCCTAGAAGCACGCAATTGGAGAATCTGAGTGCAATGTTCACATTGAATTTCCCTCTATAAATAGCTGGGCAATTTGATGAATGAAGACATCACAACGAAAAGAACAAATACAACACCAAGAGAGAGAAAGAAAAAAGAGAAAAAGGGTGTGAGCAAGAAGCAAGAATTTAGCTTCTGTGTGTATTTGAGTTGTGAGTTGTGAGTGAGTTTGAGAGTGTTTTGTAAATACGAGTGTATTTCTTTTCTCCTAATAAAATATCTGCAGTAGTCCGGAGACGTAGGCATTATTGGCCGAACTCCGTTATCAAATTGGTGTGTCCAATTTTTATTTTTTATTTCACTTTTATAGATCCGACTTCATGGAAAATTCAGAGTATTTTGCCCAACAACTGGTATCAGAGCCAGATTGTTAATTCTGTAATTTTTTGTGTGGGTTACTATTCCGTGAATAGTGAAAAACGGAAATAGTGACAAATTTGTCGGCGCTACAAATTTATTTACCGACGTGTTTTGAAACACGATCGTTCACAAAAATTTATCAGAAACGATCCGGCAGTGAAGTCAGATCAGAGTCGAAGTGATGGCTGCAGATGAAGGAAAAATGAAAATCGAAAAGTTCGACGGTGCGGACTTTGGCTTTTGGAAGATGCAGATCGAGGATTATCTGTACCAGAAGAATATGTATCAACCACTCACAAGAAAGAAGCCAGAGGACATGAAGGAAGAAGAATGGAGTCTCCTCGACAGACAAGCTCTTGGAGCCATCCGGCTGACGTTATCCCGTAATGTTGCTTTTAACATTGCAAAAGAAAAGACGACAGCAGGCCTCATGAAGGCTCTTTCCAACATGTACGAGAAACCATCGGCCTCAAATAAAGTTCATTTGATGAGGCGATTGTTCAACCTTCGGATGACCGAAGGTGCTTCGGTGGCACATCATCTCAATGAGCTCAACACCGTCACAACCCAGTTGAGTTCAGTTGAGATCGAGTTCGATGATGAAGTACGGGCTTTAATACTTTTGTCTTCCCTACCAGAAAGTTGGAATGCTACGGTCATAGCTGTGAGTAGCTCATCGGGAAACAATAAGTTGAGATTTGATGATGTTCAAAATTTGGTTCTCAGTGAAGAGATCCGGCGGAGAGAGTCGGGTGAACCATCGACCTCTTCTGTATTGCATACAAAGTCAAGAGGAAGAAGTTCAACCAAAGAAAGCAGACACAACAAATCAAAAGGAAGAAGATCCAAGTCCAGAAATCATCATAATTCCCAAACCTCGAAGTCGATCGAGTGCTGGAACTGTGGGAAGACTGGGCACTACAGAAACCAGTGCAAGAGTGCACCGAAGGGTCAGGAGACAAAAGAAGAGGCAAATGTTGCCTCATCCTCAGGAGGAGATATGCTGGTATGTTCTTTGGAGAACAAAAGAAGAGGCAAATGTTGCCTCATCACTCCAGAAAGGTATAGGTTTACTTTCTGAAACACAAGTCAGAAGTATTTGAAGCTTTCAAGATATGGAAAGCTATGGTGGAAAATGAGACAGGCTTGAAGATCAAGAAGCTCAGATCCGACAATGGTGGTGAATACGTAACAACCAGATTCAAGAAGTTTTGCTATGAGCACGGGATCAGAATGGAGAGAACCGTGCCTGGTACGCCTCAACACAATGGTGTAGCTGAACGTATGAATCGAACGTTGACTGAAAGAGCCAGAAGCTTGCGTGTGCAGTCAGGCCTACCAAAGCAGTTCTGGGCAGAAGCAGTCAACACAGCAACTTACCTGATCAACCGAAGTCCATCGGTACCATTGGATCACAAGCTACCAGAAGAGGTATGGAGCGGAAAAGAAGTAAAACTCTCACATCTTAGAGTTTTCGGGTGTGTAGCATATGTGCACATCAGTGATCAAGGTAGAAACAAACTTGATCCAAAATCAAAGAAATGTACTTTCCTTGGTTATGGTGAAGATGAGTTTGGCTACCGCTTATGGGATGACGAAAACAAAAAGATGATCCGCAGCAGAGATGTCATCTTTAATGAAAGAGTGATGTACAAGGACCGGCATAACACAAGTGCCAGCAACTCAGAAGCGAGTGGGCCAGTTTATGCAGAGGTGGAAGATATCCCTGACATTCCTATAGTAAAGAATCCTCGGTCAGAGGAATCAAATGAAGAATGTGAAGTGCAATCAGAACCTTCTACTCCAGCTCCTGTATTGAGAAGGTCCTCTAGGCCCCATGTGCCTAACAGGAGATACATGGACTACATGTTGCTGACTGATGGAGGGGAGCCTGAAAGTTACATGGAAGCTTGTCAAACCACGGATGCTAGCAAGTGGGAGCTTGCCATGAAGGACGAGATGAAGTCCTTGATGTCGAATCAGACATGGGAACTAGTCAAGTTACCTATGGGAAAGAAAGCACTTCATAACAAATGGGTGTATCGCGTGAAGGAAGACCATGATGGTTCCAGGAGATACAAAGCCCGACTGGTTGTCAAAGGATTTCAGCAGAAAGAAGGAGTTGACTATACTGAAATCTTTGCTCCAGTTGTAAAACTCAATACTATCAGGACGGTGTTAAGTATTGTGGCTAGTGAAGAGCTCTACCTAGAGCAATTAGACGTGAAGACTGCATTTCTTCACGGAGACCTAGATGAGACCAATGATTGATCAGAAACAATCGACTTCCCGATTAGTCTACGAGAGAGGAGATCTATATGCACCAGCCTGAAGGATTTTCAGATGGAAAGAAGGATATGGTGTGCAAATTGAAGAAGAGCTTGTACGGCCTGAAACAAGCTCCAAGACAGTGGTATAGGAAGTTCGAAAGCTTCATGCACAAGGAAGGTTTCCAGAAGTGCAATGCCGATCACTGTTGCTTCTTTAAGAAGTATGAGTCCAGCTATATCATCTTGCTACTTTATGTCGATGACATGTTAGTAGCAGGATCAGATATGAAAGACATCAGAAAATTGAAGATGCAGTTGTCAAAAGAATTTGACATGAAGGACTTAGGCCCAGCAAAGAAGATTCTTGGAATGCAAATCACGAGAGATAAGCAAAAAGGAGTTTTGCAGTTATCTCAGGCGGAGTACATCAACCGTGTTTTGCAAAGATTTAACATGAACAAGGCCAAACCAGTCAGTACACCTTTGGCCAGTCATTTTCGTCTATCCAAGGACCAGTCTCCTCAAACAAAAGAAGAAGAAGAGTTCATGGCTAAGATTCCTTATGCTTCAGCCATTGGAAGTTTGATGTACGCGATGGTCTGTACTAGGCCAGACATTGGCCATGCAGTGGGAGTTGTGAGCAGGTTTATGTCAAAACCAGGAAAAGCTCATTGGGAAGCAGTCAAATGGATTTTGAGATATCTACGGGGCACAACAGAAAAATGTCTGTACTTTAGAAAAGGAGATCTAAAGTTACAGGGCTACGTAGATGCAGACTTTGGAGGTGAAGTTGATAACCGAAGAAGTACCACCGGTTATGTTTTCACTGTCGGAGCTACAGCTGTTAGTTGGATGTCGCGGATACAAAAGATTGTTGCTCTATCCACTACAGAGGCTGAGTATGTAGCAGTGACAGAAGCCAGTAAAGAATTGATATGGCTTCAAGGATTGTTAGCAGAGTTGGGTTTCACTCAAAAAGAGAGTGTCTTGCACAGTGACAGTCAGAGTGCAATACATCTGGCAAAGAACTCAGTGTTTCACTCCAGAACTAAGCACATTGACATACGATATCATTTCATCAGATCTCTTCTCGAGGATGAAGTGTTGACTTTGAATAAAATTGTAGGAAGCAAGAACCCAGCAGATATGCTAACGAAGGTGGTGACCATTGACAAACTGAAGTTGTGCTCAACTTCAGTTAGCTTGCTAGAATAACAGACCGGAGAAGACTACTGCAGTAATTGATGTGTGAGGACAGATTAAAATCAGTCCTCAAGTGGGAGATTGTTGAGTCAAAAGGGCTGCGCCCATTTCATTTGACAGCAGACAAATGAAGAAAAAATTGAAAAGGAAGCAGCCTAGAAGCACGCAATTGGAGAATCTGAGTGCAATGTTCACATTGAATTTCCCTCTAAATAGCTGGGCAATTTGATGAATGAAGACATCACAACGAAAAGAACAAATACAACACCAAGAGAGAGAAAGAAAAAAGAGAAAAAGGGTGTGAGCAAAAAGCAAGAATTTAGCTTCTGTGTGTATTTGAGTTGTGAGTTGTGAGTGAGTTTGAGAGTGTTTTGTAAACACGAGTGTATTTCTTTTCTCCTAATAAAATATCTGCAGTAGTCCGGAGACGTAGGCATTATTGGCCGAATTCCGTTATCAAATTGGTGTGTCCAATTTTTATTTTTTATTTCACTTTTATAGATCCGACTTCATGGAAAATTCAGCGTATTTTTCCCAACACCCTATGCCTCCGTACGCGTCGAACTTCGGGAAGCTCGACGCCATCAACGTGCAATTCCCCGGCACGTGAACCCTCGGATTTTCCGCCCAATCCCTCATGAAACCCAACACAGCCTCCGCCGTCCCTTCCCGCTCCACAAACGCCTTTAGCCCAACCGCAGCCTGGCCCGGCCCACCTCCCAACAGCTCCTCTTCTTCCATGCACAGCGTGGACCCCAAAAAAGCATTCCCGAAATACCCTTCCGGCAACTCCACCCTCCCTCGTGCCCCGACCGCCGTCCCCAACTTCTCTTTCCCCTCGGCCACGCCGAGCTGGCGGCGGCAGCGCGCCACGCACCGCCACACGTGCACCACGATCGCCTGAAACGACGTGATACCGCCGGCCTCGGAGCTCGCCCGAGACTTGAGCTCGGCCACGCGCTCCTTGCTGACGTGGAAAACCTTATCGAGCAACTTGGGACGGACGATGTTATCCGGAGTGGGGATGCGGACGGGGATGGGGCGGTTTTGCCAGCCGGAGAAATCGCGCGCGAAGGAGGGCATTTTCGATATTTTATCGCGGCCGCGGATAATCTCGGCCCATGATCGGACGAGGTGCCACAGGGTCGAGCCGTCTGCAACGGCGTGGTTTGTCGCGCACCCGATGAAGAGGCCGTCCTCGAGCTCCGTCATCTGGATGGCCAATAGCGGCTCAGAGGTCCCGTGGAAGTTGCGAGTCCCGTTTAATGGGAAGAAGGAGAAGACGATTTCCGGCGTGTGCGCGGCCTCCAATATGTAGCTAACCGACACGTCGGTGGCGACTGCATGGATGAAACCGGCGCCTTTGTTGTTGCAGACTTGCAGTCGATGAAATAAACGGCAGTTTTGTTGTTGTTGTTGGTGTTTTCAGTGGAGAGGCGGCCGGCGAGTGGGGGGAAGTAGTCGAGCACGCGAGAGAGTGAGGCTTTGAGGTATTCGATAATTAAATTGATAGGGAATGCGGGCTTGTGAAATAGAACCCGTTGTTGGATTGGTTCGTGTAAGAGTGTTTGCAAGTCCCATGGAGTTAGGTCGAGCCGGGACATTGGGATTGGATCGATCGAGGCCATGGGAATAAGATCTGATGAGACTATTTCAACTTTTGCCATTCCTTTGGTTTGGCAAGGAAATATTGTGATATAAGTTTGGATTGTGAAGAAGAAATTAATGATAAGATGGGAGGGATATGCAGCGTGGCCGTATTTATTGTGTACATGTTTTGAACTTTGGATCAGGTGCTGATGAAATAAACAAAGGCACCACATGTAGCGCGCTGGGTATTATTTTTGTACGCAACAATCACTATTTGGATGCTCCAGAAATTTGGAGGCCTCAGACAATTTTTTTTTTTTTTCGAAGTTCCCAATTTGAATTTGTGTGGTAAGCAGAAAAGAAAAAAACAATTAATTCAACAAGACAAGCTAAATAAATAAATAATTTTTCTTGTTTTTCATCAATCCTGAAATATATCTTGGAAATGATACATTATCTTACAGAGATATTTAATAAATTACATTGAAGCAGTCACGAGGACATTAAGATAAAAAATAAAAAATAATATCAGTGAAACTAATTATTCTAATAAATATTGTTCATACCAAACATCATAAGAAAACAAATGAAATATTTAGGTTTTCAAATTCACAAACAAATTACATATTTAACCATTAGCCTTTTTATTAATTAGTTTCTTCATTTGTGTAGTGGACCAAGTCCATATTTAGTCATTAGCCCTTTATCTTTTATTAATTAACATCTTTATTTGTGTAATGGGTTAAGTCAATATTTAGTCATTACTCATTCATTAATTAGGCCACTTCATTTATTTAAATGGATCAAACCGTATTAACCAAAAAAAAGAAAAAAAAAATGTGGCCCCAAATAAATTGAGGCCCTAGGCAATAGCCTCTCTGCCTCCCCCCTGGAGCCGCCACTGTGGATGCTGGACTCAGCTGGCGGAATTAACAAAATGGCGTCATGAGCTGCAAGTAGCATACAGCAAATAATTTTTTTCATTTAAAATTTTCAATACAGTTGGTGGTGAGCGAGTGGATCTAATATTATATGGTGCAAGGAATTCACATGGGCCAAATTTAATTATAAGCCATGAAATCTTTTACATCCCATTATATATATATATATATATTGTTATAAGTTATGAGAATTTGTAATAACCAATGTTTAGAGTAGAATAAATTTGGTTTGTTAACTGTCTGCTCTAACTTTGTCACAGCACCCCCACCCTAATGACATTTGATTGAGAAATTTGTGGGCTCTACATGCAAACGTTTTGTATTTAAATAAATTAACCACTATGGATGTGTGTATAAATGAATGTTTAGTGAAATGATAATTAAAATAAAGAATGTGTAATTGGTGTTTAAATGAATGAACATCGAATGAGAATACTGAATACCCATATTAGTTATTGGGTATTTATTGTGGGAATGACTACTGCATTTATTGCAATGTTCAGTTGATTAATTGTCATAAAACTTGTACTTAGACTGTTAGACATCGGAGAGTGATTGCGAAAAATAGATAAAAAGAGGAATTGAAGATGTTACAAAGCATAATGTTTTATTAGTGATGGAAAAATATCGTGTACTTATACTATACCTTTTCGGGTTTATTTCAACTTGTATTGGATGTATATTGAGACGTTGCAATATATAAATTATTTTCTTGGTAAAATATAATTTGCAAAACTTGATGGACAATTATAATTAGCAACATAATTCATTAATATTTTCCGTACAACCAATTTTCTAAAAGCGTTAGGCGCTCGTTGGATGATGGACTAAAGTCTAACGATTAGGCGACGTCCGAGCGCCTAGAAGGGTAGCCTATACGAAAACCAGTGCACAGTGCTTACAACACGTGTATGGCTGTAAAGCTCAAACCAAACCAAATTTCATGTTGGTCCTACTTCCATTTTGTGCTTTTTCTTTCTAATATAATTTTTTAATTTATTCTTGTCAATGTGTGGTTTTCGGCAACAGTAATGAGCCATTTAACATAGGGAAATTTTCAATCATCCTACGTGAAATCAACTTAATTACAAATTTATCATTAACAAATAACTAATTTGGAAGATACTTGATAGACCAACAATATTTACGTGAATGCCTAAAAGTAAGTTACCCAACATAACATACTCCCTTCCATAACTTATAGCGTGAATCACGCGATTGAAACCGAAAAAAAAGAAACAGAAAATACCATCATCTCGTCATCTCCTCCTCCGCCATCCTCTGAACGACGCGCAGACCAATCGCCACGCCAGCCCCTCCGCCGCGCAATACCCCCGACCGTCATTTGCTCGCAAGTCCTCCGCCGTGAACTCATCTCTGTTCGCGAGCAGCAAGCCGCGAGCTCTCTACAAATCTGACGCCGCGAGCCTCCCGCCGGCGAGTATCCTCCGCGTGGACCTGCGAATTTCGATCAGAACCAGTCGCGAGCCCTCTGCGACGAGACCCCAGCAACGCCACGACCCGCTCTCCTCCCACGCCGTGAGTCGCTGCCCAGCGCCGCCTCCATCTTGCGAAGAATTCCGGCGACCCTTGTTCACGCGTGAATTGCGGCTTCCGGCGAACCCTATCACGACCAGACGCCGCGACCAGCCTCTTCCTCCGGCGATTAGGACCACCGCGAGCAGACCCCACGAGCCGTCGTCCTCAGCCTCTGCGGCCCGCTTTCCCTCCGCCATGATAGTCCTCTCCGACCAAGTGTATATCTTAAGTATATTTTATGTATATATGGGTTCTAAAATCGATTTTGAGGAACGATTGAAACTCGAGCGTTGTTTAACGTATATTTTATGTATATATGTGTCCCGGTTGGCTTGAATTGCTAGAATCTCGAGTGTATATTTTATGTATATTCTATGTATATGTGTGTTGTATAACTTTGATATATACTGTATACAGACGTAACATATACCCGAAATATATAAATTTTCATACTTGAAACATATAATGAAAAAATACTGTGTATACCCGCTACATATAGTATATGTTAGTATATATTAGTATATGTTGCCCGCTACATATAGTATATGTTAGTATATATTAGTATATGTTGCAATGAAAAACATGTCTTTCATAAAAAAATTATGTCTTCTAATTCACGCGGCTGTCCAGATCGGTATATGTTGCGTTTATGTTAGTATATATTCGGTATATGTTGCAACGAAAAACATGTCTTTCATGAGAATTTTGTCTTCTTTTTTTTTTTGTAAGTTTAACGTTAATTGAAACGTACGTGAATTGATAGTTTTTTCATTAATGATATATGTGTTGTTTTCAACAAAAAAATCTTTTAATATACCAAACATAAACTAATTTGTATATAAAACATATTGAGTATAAACCATACATATACAAAAAAAAAAAAAATCATCGGTTTATGCTTTGTCAATATAAAACCAAACATACATATAAGGTAGCCCTTATATTATACAGAATATATACCCTATATATCCACAACATATACCCGATTAATTCATGGCGCCCACCCACAGTCTCCAATTTCCAGTTTTTTCTTCCATCGTCTCGAACTCTTCTGCTTCACCACCTCCATTGCGTACTCCACTTGGAACGTGAGACTACTCAACTAATCAACAACATCCATTCAACATCCAAAAGCATAAACAGTCCAAAAAAATAAACCAGTTTAAAAAACGTGAGACTAATCAACTAATCACATCATAATCAAAATGTTGAGAATTTTCCACGATCAAAGAAAATTTAATCGCCAATTTCTTACTCCTGCGACTAGTAAAAAAAAATTAAAATAAAATAATATTGACAAAAATCAAAATCATTCCTTTCACCTGTAACAGACATTTTTTATTGCATTATTTTCTTTCCTCTACACGAAAAATAGAATCGATCTTCACAACGAAACAACACATAGACGAATCAAAAACTGAATTTCATAACTGAATTTCATCCCCTCCCTCGTAAATATAACGTTACATATCTTCTATAAACCAAAATAGCAAGGGACTTGGCTCCATTAGTCACAGATGAAAGCACATTAATGTGAAACTTCAAGCAGTTTCATGATTCTGTACATCAGATAATTACAGACAGTATATTCACATGGGAGCCCTTTAAATCGGATCAATATAAAACAATTCATGAAGAAAGGCTTCCCACCGTACGCCTGTCGGCAAATCGCCACCGGCTTCTGCGATTTTAGGCAGAGCCCAGACCTCGCCGGAAACCGCTCCAGGCAGTTGTCCCCCGCCGGCGAAAAACGCCTCTGGCGGCGACCGCCTCCCGTCGTACCGCTGCGGGATCTGGCCCCTCGATCCGCCCCTCGATTTGGTGTGTCGTCTGCATCATCTGTCGGATTTTTTCGATGAGGCCGAGGGATTTTAGTTTTGTCCATTGAATCTTGAGCAGGTATTGTTGCAGAGCCGACGAGATTGGGAAAAGAAAAAGGTAAGAGACGTGCTTTGGTAATTATCTTATTTGTTTTCTTTTTTTTGGTAAGTGTATCTTTAATTCCCCTAAAATCTCTCATTAGCATTTAAAAGTTTTGTAACGGTTCTTGTAGTCTTTTAGGTACTATTGAGAATTTTGTTTGTCATTTAGGTAATTTTACATGTTTGAGAATCTTGATATTAAAATGAAATATATTAGTGGGGATGTAATTTCCTCTTTAACATAACACTCTTTATATTTTATCGAGCCCAAACATGTACATAAAGCCCATGGGCCATAGCCTTAAAAAGTCCATGAAGCAGCTGTACAGTAGTAACGCTCTCCCACACGAACTAAAGTTGTAGAGATAATCTCGCCGCCAAGTAAAAAGATCTCATTTAGACCTTTCCTATATCGCCGTCACTAAAAATCAAAATTCTCTCTCCTCTCTTTTCTCTCTCAACAAGTTTTCTTGAATATTTTTTTTTTTTTCAAAAAATTCTCGAAATTCGTTCTCGGCAATGTCGGATATCAGCGGCGAAACTTCATTCACGGCAATGGCGAAAATCGACGGCGACGGCCTCTCGGCCAACACCAGGCGGTGGATATGCCTGAACCAAGTGACGGCTCTTCTGACCGACGGCAAAGTCCAATTGGAAGATTTGGTCTCCGAAATCCAAAGTAATCGAAACCCTAACACCCCACTCTTCGATAATTTCTCGATGAAATCCAAACGGTCTCCAAGAATCAGGAGGATCCGGCCCGGCCCGGTTCCCGACAAAGAGCCCGCCCACAACCCGACCCGTATCAAGATTAAGTTCAAAAATCCGGCCACCGTCGAGCTTCCCGAGAGCAAAAGGAAAAAGGGCTCCGAAAGCCTCAACACAAAGGGGAAAATCTCAAAGGCCCGACTCTACCGACACCTGGCCGCGAGCAATCTCCCGACCCTACCCGAAGACCCGACCCTACCCGATCCTTTCAAGAATCATATCTTGAAAACCGGCGGCTGTCTCGGCAGTCTGGTGTTTGTGATCGAGAAGGAGATTTCGAATACAGACGCAAGCCCGGGCCATGCCAGGCTGTCAGTGCCTTACTGCCAGGTCAGAAACGGGTTCCTGACCACTGCTGAGGTGGACAAGTTGAGTTCGGGTGAGGGGGTTGACGTGGACCTCGTGCAGCCGTGCCTGGAAGAACGTAAGATGATATTTAAGATATGGTTTTCGACGTACGTGATCAACAGTGGGTGGAATGCGGTTTGCAGTCGGGATGAGTTGACTGCCGAGAATATTGTCCGGCTGTGGGCTTTTCGGAGGGAATCGAACTTGTGTTTTGCATTGGTTAAGGTTTCTTGATGAGCAGGGTTTTGAAGGGTGCGCTGGATTTTTTTTGTATTCATTGTTTCTTGATTAATTTAGGTGAATTTTACTTTTAATTTTTTGTTTTATGGGTTTATTTGATTGTTAATATGGTTAGGGTTTTGAGAGTTGATGATGAGTGATGCAAGGAATGTATAGCCCTGGTCGTTAAATTAGGGAGATGATATGTTAAATGAAATACTGCTAACTTTGATGGAAATTAAATCTTGTGTGTTTTAACATGACATGCTATCTTAGGCCATGGATTCTCTTATTTTAATAAATAGGATATGGATCAAAATCTCAAGATTGGAGGATTCTTGTTTATCTATAAAGAAAATTATAGAGATACGTATGAGTATAAATGTTGGCTTTTTTTGTCAAGATATAATTCTAAGATTTTACTAATTATCATCTTGTGAACTTCGTTTTACTTAATTATTACCTTCTGCACATATTCATTTGATGATCAGGGTGTAGACTCTAACGGGGAAGCAAAATTCATTCAAGTGTTAATCTGTGTTGTTCATGAGAGAAGTCATAATATGTTGATAATATATTCAAAACCTTCCCTCTATTACACTCATGATTTACGATATTGAACCCGGTCTCCCAATCGTTAGCTATATGTTGTTAGTGCATTGAAACTAGATTTTTGGACAATAACCATGTTGTCAAATACACAATAACCACCAATTTAAATGGGTCATAATGAGTATGACTTAATAATTTTCGGTTAAAATTAGAATTTCAACAGAGTGAGTATGACTTATTAATCATCGGTTAAAATTAGAATTTTAATCAACATTATTCTTAAATTACCCAGCTTTAAAAAGTTACTGAATTAATTACTATTAAAAAATTGGATTCTATTTGNAAAAAAAAAAAAAAAGAAATTGGATTCTAAGTAATAAATAAATATTTTAATATGAACATTGCATTTACGTAAATAATTTTACATTAACTAATAGTATTATCATTTTATTAATCTGATCTGTCATGCTTCCGAAAATAGGGCCTCAGATATTTGATTGTGTGTGAAGATCAAAAGGCCAAAAATCACTATATACACGGCTAAAGTACACACTGTATAAAAAGTCCTTATTTCCTATATACACTTTAAAGGCCCAAGTTATTGGAGCCTTAGCCCCTAAATAAGTTAGCGGGCCTAAAGGCTGGAAAGCCCAACGAATAGACTAGTCTCTGGAACAGTCCATCTCCAGCCGGAAATGAGAGTGAGTTCCTACTTAGCAATTGTCTAACTCCAATTTCCCAAATGACTGAATCCGAAATTCCCCGTGAATATTATTTTGGGAGATGATATAAAATTTCTACTCGAGAATCGACGATTACAAGGCTCTTAATAATAGATGTTTTAGCAACAAATTTGATGTCCTTCAGCCACAAATTATATAATTTATTTTTAATACCAAGTCATTTAGCTTGACTTTATTTATATAAATTATTTGCCGGTGCAACATAATTAGGGCTCCAAATGAATTAAAAATTTGCTCACATAGAGAGTTGTTAGATTAAACGAGTCGTTCGTGAGATTGACTTGGTTCTTTAAGGCTCGATAAAGTTCGAAAAGATAATTTTTATGCAATTTTTTATAATTCGACTCGTTAAAGTTCGATTTCGATTCGTTAATATTAATAAACGAGTCGGAACTCGATCAGCATGAGCTCGAGTTCGACTCACTTACACCCATACTCACGTGTTTGTGTTAATGTTCTGACTCAAGCTCACCCACAGCCTTAAGAATTCAAATTCAATTTCGAGCCAAGCTTGAGGTAATAGTTTACAAGTTGGAGTATTTGAGGAGATAATCAAATATATTTAAAATAACTTAAATACAAATTAGGATTATTTTTAGTAAAAATTTGAACCAAATCCGAGTAAATTTGGACCCATCACCTTTTAAAGTCACCTACACTACGTGGCCAAACCAGAGCCACCTAAATTCTCAAAATCAGACCTCGCATCCAGACAAAGTTCACTCCCACTCTTTTACTCCACAGTATAAATCCAAAATTACATACGGCGATACATACGAGGACAAACCAAAAATCTCTTCCCCGTTGTTTTTTTTTTTTTTNTTAATGGTAAAACAATACAAAAATCTCTTCCCGTTATCCTCAATCAATCTCCGCCGTCCCTTTTTTCCCATCCTACGACTCTCACGCCTCAGAATCCACTAATCATATCCAACAAATATCACCACCTCCACTCATATAACCTCCCACACTCTCAGCCACTACTAAGCTTCAAGAGGAAGAGGAAAAAATATCAAACCCCTCCAAACATGGCCTCCATCGCCGTGAAAACCTTCGTCGGTCTCCGTCAGTCCGCGCCGGAGAAAACCGTCGCCCGGCCGGCATCCGCTTCTCCTCGCCGGAGATTCCGCGTGGTCGCCTCGAAATCCAGCCCGAGGGTCACCGGCCGAAACCTCCGAGTCGCCGTGGTTGGCGGCGGCCCCGCCGGCGGCGCAGCAGCGGAGGCCCTTGCCAAGGGCGGCGTGGAGACGTTTCTGATCGAGCGCAAGATGGACAACTGCAAGCCCTGCGGCGGCGCCATTCCCCTCTGCATGGTCGGCGAGTTCGACCTCCCGCTGGACATCATCGACCGGCGGGTCACCAAGATGAAGATGATCTCGCCGTCCAACGTAGCCGTCGACATCGGCCGCACCCTCAAGCCCCACGAGTACATCGGGATGGTCCGCCGCGAGGTCCTCGACGCCTACCTCCGCGACCGCGCCGGCGCAGCTGGCGCCGCCGTCATCAACGGCCTCTTCCTCAAGATGGACCTCCCCTCGTCTAAAACCGCGCCGTACGTCCTCCACTACTCCGACTACAACGCCAAGTCCGGCGGCGCCGGCGAACGGAAAACCCTCGAGGTCGACGCCGTCATCGGCGCCGACGGCGCCAACTCCCGCGTCGCCAAATCCATCGGCGCCGGCGACTACGAGTATGCCATCGCCTTTCAGGAGCGGATCCGCATCCCCGAAGAGAAGATGAAGTACTACGAGGACCTCGCCGAGATGTACGTAGGCGACGACGTATCGCCGGATTTCTACGGTTGGGTCTTCCCAAAGTGCGACCACGTGGCCGTCGGCACCGGCACCGTCACCCACAAGGGCGACATAAAGAAACTCCAGGTCGCTACCCGGCTCCGCGCCCGGGACAAGATCTACGGCGGCCAAATCATCCGGGTCGAGGCCCACCCCATCCCGGAGCACCCGCGGCCCAGACGGGTCCTCGACCGGGTCGCCCTCGTCGGCGACGCCGCCGGCTACGTCACCAAGTGCTCCGGCGAGGGGATATACTTCGCCGCCAAAAGTGGGCGGATGTGCGCAGAGGCCATTGTGGCCGGATCTGAAAACGGGAAGAGGATGGTGGACGAGGGGGACCTGAGGGTATATCTGGAAAAATGGGACAAAACTTATTGGCCGACGTACAAGGTTCTGGACATACTGCAAAAGGTTTTCTACAGGTCGAATCCGGCTAGGGAGGCATTTGTGGAGATGTGTGCCGACGAGTACGTGCAGAAGATGACGTTTGATAGTTATTTGTACAAACGGGTCGTGCCAGGTAACCCAATTGATGATTTGAAGCTGGCCGTGAATACGATTGGGAGCCTGGTGAGGGCTAATGCGCTGAGGAAGGAGATGGAGAAGCTTACTGTATGATTTTTCATTCTTTGGTAATAGAATTTGGCTGCTTGTGACTTGTTTGGGTGATTGAGGGGTATTTAAAATGTAAACGAGGAACAATATTATCTGTTTGGTTTTAGAGAGACCTCTTGTTATGTGTGTATATTTTTCCAATTCAATTGACTAAATCAACCTGAGATAAATGCATTTTTCATGGAAGTGATGCCCGGGTTTGTGAATGGGGTTACAATGACGAGCAGAAAAAAGCCGCCTTGATGGTAAATTTGGATAGATTTGCTTCTCCCAAACATGGTGTGGAGATTTGGTTTAGTGTGTGTAGATTTCGTCTGTGTAGATTTGATGTGCATGTGTGAATGCTCGTGTAAGGCTCTGATAATGGCTGGCGGTAAATGATTGAAGTACCAAGTCACTGAATGTAGGTTCGTTTCCCCTTTTAATATTATCTGTGCGTGGGGATGCTTATATTGAATCTGTTGGTAGCATATTGTGATTTAATGGCTCTCTGTATTTGCTCTATTTCTTCGCATATTGTGACATAATGGTTTGTTCTGCATGTTTTCTACTAATTTAGGTCTTTGCTAAGGCTCTAGTGCACTGATAACCATATATGAATGTGCAGATGCAATTTTCCTGCACGAACTCTGCATTTTCGTTAACATAATAAACTAGTACTGCTATGCATAACAATCTCATTGGCTCATAACCCTTTGGCATTTTCTTTTTTCCTTTCTTGCAGTCTCATTGTTTTTTGTTGTGTTTGGTTCTGCTTCTCGTATAACCACATTATTGACTTTTGGTAGAAAAACTGACTTCCAAAGACACTCGCTGAGTGGAAATCTCGGTTTCGCAGTTGGGGCTATGAAGCAGTTATTTGCAGTGTAGATACTGAACAACGACTGGATACCCTCAATTTCATTTTGAGAGACCAATGGTTTATGAGGCAATAGAAGTATTCCTTAAGATGAGAATTGATTGAACCTGAAGGATCACGGTTTGGTTATCTATCCATGCTACTGTATTTCCTAATTACTTGCAATTGACACTTACTTTAACTCCTCCTTCCCTGACACTAGATTTTAAGAATCAATATGTTTGAAGAGCAGAGTGCTGGAAAAGGAATATACACTGCACGAAATGTGTCGAAGCTTCCATTATCTGAGGTGAATCTCTTGTTGAGACACTGGGATTTAATCAGCTGGGTTTGACGAAAAAAGACAGAACAGTCCCTTGCACGATATTTCCAGAAACCTCACTGTTTCTTTATACTGATTATAGTTCTTTATATCTAGATTAAATTTGGACTCGACGGTGTTACTATTTCTCCTTCAGATCGAGACAATGGTGAAAGGCTATGCATCTGCAAAACATTGTTGTTTGGATCTTGGTGAAACAGGTTGCATTGCAAAAGGAGACTAGGAAAGATACAATCTATCTTCAATTTCTGGATGAGATTAAAACTAGAGAAGACTTACAACTGAGGACGGTCGGAACTCAAAGAGAGTGATATGAGGTATGTTCAGATTAGTTAGTTCATCTTGTGTTAGGCCGACATTCTATCTGACATGAAATTTAATATATGTTTTTGTTATGGAAATTTCGGTAAGTTTTACAAAATCTAAGCAAATTCAAATGATACATAAATTAAATAACTTTTTAAAACACAATTCTTAAAATTCGAGTAAGTATTTAAAGATCTCGAATGAATACATCCCTTATACGCATTCGAAAACATATTCAACTAATTGACCTCCATGAACTCATCGTCTTCCTCCAACGCCGCCATAACCTCCGGCGCCAGGCAGAGCTCGACATCGACACCGTCCCCTTCTGCTGCCGTGAAAAGCATCACTCTCCCATCCCATTTCACGGCCTTTCCAGTCCTTACAGCCACCGGCTTCCCCAACCCGATATTCCCCATGTCACCGTACGCATCGAACTTGGGAAAGCTCGTCACTCCCAACGTGAAACTCCCCTCGACATACACGGGCAATCGAGGCTCCTTCGCCCACTCCTCCAAGAAGCACAACACATCCTTCCCCGTCCCTTTTCGGGCAAAAAACTCCTTGAGCCCAAGCGCAACCCGGCCCAATCCATCTCCCAAAAGCTCCCCCTCACCCATGCACAACTTTGTAACTTCAATGGCGTTCCCGAAATACCCTTCCGGCAACGAGATTTTCCCTCTTGCTCCAACCGACGTGACGAAAACTTCCTCCCTTTTCCTGCCTGTCTTTTTCCGGCTACGCGCCACGCACCGCCACAGATGAGCCACGATCACCTGAAACGACGTAAATTCATCTGCTTTTGAATTCGCCCTCGCCTTTAGCTTGGCCACGCTCTCCTTGCTTATGTGGAAAGCCCTCTCGACCAACGGTTGCCGCACGATCTTCGCATCGAAGTCGAGCACACGGACGGGTACTTGTCGGTTTTCCCATCCGGGGAAATCGCGCACGAAGGAGGGCATTTCTGATATTTTCTCACGGCCGCGGGCAATCTCAGACCACGAGCAGATTAGATGCCATAGCGACGAGCCATCCATAACGGCGTGGTTAGCTGCGCAACCCATGAAGAGGCCATCCTCGAGCTCAGTGATTTGGATGGCGAATAGCGGCTCGGAGGTCCCTTGGAAGTTGTGGGTCCCATTTAGTGGGAAGAAGGAGAAGACGATTTCCGGCGTGTATGTGGCCTCCAATATGTGGGCGACCGACACGTTTGTGGCGGCCGCATGGATGAAGCTGGCGCCTTTGTTGTTGCAGTCGACAAAATAAACGGCCGTTTTGGTGTTGTTAGATATTTCGGTGGAGAGGCGGCCGGCGAGTGGGGGGAAGTAGTCGAGCACGCGGGAGAGTGAGGCTTTGAGGTATTCGATAATGAAATTTATGGGGAATGCGGGCTTGTGAAATAGAATCCCATATTGAATTGGTTCGAGTAAGAGCATTTGTAAGTCCCATGGAGTTAGGTCGAGACGGGACATTGGAGTTGGGTCGATGGACGCCATAGGAATAAGGCTTGATGATACTACTTCAACTTTTGCCATTCCCATTGTTTGCTAGCTTTCTTTTGGAAAGAAAATGTGACAATTGGGTATTGAGGCGGAAGTGCTTGGCCAAGGATTTATTCTAAAGGTGTTGGACTTGGTACAATCAGTTGATGATGAGTAAAAGAAAAGCTTCGTATCCTTTCATTCTCCTTGATGAATGGGTCTCTCGCTGAATTATGGTATTAACCGAAAAGGCGACAAGTGTTGCACGTAGGTCTAACGCATAATAATTTATTTAATTGAAAATGACATAGTGTGCTATTTGGTTAATGAATTACTTATTGAGGGAAGAATATGGATAAAGCCACATTTAATTATCGTTTATTATCATATTTATTTTTGATAAGTAGTATAAAAATAGGGTAAAACATTGGTTGCAACTTGTATGTGTTTACCTATAGTATTTTTTTGGTAAATTATAATCTCAGTTTTATAATTAAAAATTCTTAATGTAGCTTCGTGCACATTTTAGTCATACAATCATTTGCAAAAATGGACACGTATGTAATGAAGATGTAGAAGAAGTTTCAAAGTATGAATAATTATAAAGTTCTCGTTGCATTTTCAAAGAAAATAAACTTCAAAGGCCAAAGCCGTGTGTAGTACATGTTGAAGAAAAATGTTTTACCCGTAAAAATATATTTTTTTTATATACATTCTGATTCTGTTACGATTTGTTTTTCATTTATTCTAATATGTTGAGTTGTTGCATTAATTATGACCACCAACTTTTGATAAATAATAATTCTAACCGGCTTCGATGAGTTGTTTTTCATCGATTTCTCCTCAAAGGAGACGATCGGAGAATTGGTTTTCTCAGTTAAATACTACAGACACGAGTCACTCGACCCTTGGTAGAATTTATTTAATTTTTGGGCCAAAACCCAAATTGATAAAACTCCATTACTATTTGACGACAAAATAAATAAGTAATTAAATATTAAATAATATAAAATTATTTATTTAAATTACAAATTCGCGGGTCACACACGGGACACGTGGCCAGTAGAATACATATAAGCTGTGATAATATTTCACGGGGACAATTTTCAAAAGGAAATAATAAAGATACATGCATAAATCTCAAATATAATCAAACTCACACCATTCTCACACAAACCAAACAAAACGAAAACACACAAACACACACATCAACTCCAAAACGAACACGAAAGTTTGATAAAAATTAAATGGTCTCCATGAACTCAGCATCTTCCTCCAACGCCGCCATAACCTCTGGCACCAGGCAGACCTCAACATCAACCCCATCCCCTTCAGCCGCCGTGAAAAGCATCACTCTCCCATCCCATTTCTGAGCCTTTCCACTCCTCACAGCCACCGGCTTCCCCAACCCCACATTCCCCATACCGCCATACGCATCGAACATCGGAAAGCTCGTCACCGCAAACGTGAAACTCCCCTCGACGTGCACGTGCAACCGAGGCTCCTTCACCCACTCCTCCAAAAAGCCCAACACAACCTCCTCCTTCCCTTTCCCCGCAAAAAGGGCCTTGAGCCCAAGCGCAGCTCGGCCCAACCCATCTCCCAACAGCTCCCCCTCACTCATGTGAAGCCTTGCAACATCAAAAGCATTCCCAAAATACCCTTCCGGCAACGGAATTTTCCCTCTTGCCCCGACCGACGTGACGAAAACTTCCTCCCTATTGCCGCCCGTCTTTTTCCGGCTTCGCGCCACGCACCGCCATATATGAGCCACGATCACCTGAAACGACGTAAATTCCTCGCCTTCCGAATTCGCCCTCGCCTTTAGCTTCGCCACGCTCTCCTTGCTTATGTGGAAACTCCTCTCGACCAACGGGGGCCGCACGATCTTCGCATCGAAGTCGATCACACGGACGGGTATGGATCGGTTTTCCCATCCGGGGAAATCGCGCGCGAACGAGGGCATTTTCGAAATTTTCTCACGTCCGCGGACAATCTCGGACCACGAGCGGATCAGATGCCATAGCGACGAGCCATCCATAACGGCGTGGTTAGCCGCGCAACCGACGAAGAGGCCATCCTCGAGCTCCGTGATTTGGACGGCGAATAGCGGCTCGGAGGTCCCTTGGAAGTTGCGGGTCCCGTTAAGTGGGAAAAAGGAGAAGACGATTTCTGGCGTGTGCTTGGCCTCCGAGATGTAGGCAACCGACACGTCGGTGGCGGCCGCGTGGATGAAGCCGGCGCCTTTGTTGTTGCAGTCGACGAAATAAACGGCTGTTTTGTTGTTGTTGTTGGATTTTTCGGTGGAGAGGCGGCCGGCGAGTGGGGGGAAGTAGTCGAGCACGCGGGAGAGTGAGGCTTTGAGGTATTCGATAATGAAGTTGATAGGGAATTTGGGCTTGTGAAATAGAATCCCGTATTGGATTGGTTCGAGTAAGAGCATTTGCAAGTCCCATGGAGTTAAATCGAGACGGGACATTGGTGTTGCGTCGATGGACGCCATAGGGACAAGGGTTGATGATACTACTTCAACTTTTGCCATCGCCATTGTTTGCTAGCTTTCTTTTGGAANCTTTTGGCAAGGGAATGTGATTACTGGTTATGGTGAGATAGGTGCGTGTGTGTATTTATTGTACAAAGTTGTGAACTTGGTAGAATCGTGGATGAATAAAGAAAAGCACCACATGATGCGCGCAGGGGTATTATAAACGTATAGTAACAATTATTGATGAATAATGGAAGGCATCACATGATGCGCGCAGGGGTATTATAAACGTATAGTAACAATTATTGATGAATAATGGAAGGCATTCAATTCGCTTATGGTATTAACAAAATTGCGACATGCTATGCACGTAGGTCAACACTTCATTTATTTACAATTTTGCATACAGTTGTATATGTCCAAAAGCTTCTCCAACCAAACGCATTATAACACATACGCAACTGCATGATTAAAGTTACAACGCAAAAATGGGATTTTGATTGCGTTCTCTCACCAATTACAATGTCATTATCCTTTATTGTTTGATAAATTAAACAATTTATTCAAGATGTCCTTAATTAATATATTGGATTTATTTATAAAACAAATTACTTACGGGACTCCATTATTGGTGTCTGGTATCCAAATTATTAATGGAAAATGAATTAGACTGGTATATTCTGGTCTATCATTTTTTGTCTAAAAAATAGGATAAAAATATATTATGTTATGCTTTTTCTATTTATTAATTATAACCAAGTCCTATTTTATTTATATTTTTTATGAGCAGATCAATATATTTTTATTTTTTTTGCTGGTGTAATTGTCACTTTCTTAAAAAAAAAATTAATTCAACTTTTTATTGTGTAAACATTGATCTATTAGATATGTTTACACAATAAAAACTTGAAGATCTATAACTAGTTAATTTTATCATATGTTTCATAGTTGAATATAAAACAATAGCGGGTGTAATTTTCATGTAAAGTTGTAAAATATAGTGAGGCCTCCTTTACTTTATATGATTGAATAGGATATTCCTCTATCATTCTTTTACTTGAATGGATTGAGGCCCGTTGGACAAGTTTCAGCCTGGGATTAGTCTAGCCTTTATCCACCATTTCCATGATCTAGTTATCCTTTGTAATGGGCATGGAGTCTGGACCTGGATAGAATAATACTCCAGCTTTAAGTTACCATTATGCCACCAAACATTTTTTTTTTTTTGTCAGAAATGTCCTTCATTGATAAAAAATTTTTGGGAAATACCACAATTTAAGGCACTGACTCAAAGACCTTGTGCTCCTTCCACTACAAAAAAGTTTGTTATTCCAACGAAAAATTCTATGGTAATATATATTCCAATGGAAATTCTAACAGATATTCCAATAGTATAGCATCTGCTGAAATGATTTCAACAGAGATTCCAACGGAAATATTCCATTGGAATGTATTTTTCATTGGAATTTTAGATGTAATTTGATGATTTCAACGGCTTTTTACCGTAGAATTTTCGTTGGAATTTTTATTTCTACCCCCGTTGAAAAAACTACCGTTGGAATCCTCAAAATCCAACGGAAATTCTAATGAAAAACTCATTCAAACGGAATATTTTTGTTGGAATTTCCGTTGGAATTTATTAAACAATTCTAACGGAATTAATAGTCACTCTCCCATCCCATTTCTGCGCTCGGGCTCAAGGCAGACCTCGACATCAATCCCGGCCCCTTCAGCCGCCGTAAAAATCGTCACTCTCCCATCCCATTTCTGGGCCTTTCCACTCCTTACAGCCACCGGCTTCCCCAGCCCCACATTCCCCATGCCTCCATACGCATCGAACTTTGGAAAGCTCGTCATCCCCAGCGTGAAACTCCCCTGGACTTGCAAGTGCAATCGAGGCTTCTTCACCCACTCCTCCAACAAGCCCAACACAGCCTCTTCCTTCCCTTTCCTGCCAAAAAATGCCTTGAGCTCGAGCACAGCCCGGCCCAACCCATCTCCCAACAGCTCCCCCTCACTCATGCAAAACTTCGTAACTTCATTCGCATTCCCAAAATACCCTTCCGGCAACGCGATTTTCCCTCTTGCCCCGACCGACATGACCAAAACTTCTTCCCTTCCGCCACCTGTCTTTTTCCGGCTACGCGCCACGCATCGCCAAATATGAGCCACGATCACCTGGAACGACGTAAATTCATCACCTTCCGAATTCGCCCTCACCTTTAGCTTCGCCACCCTCTCCTTGCTTAGGTGGAAAACCCTCTCGACCAACGGTGGCCGCACGATCTTCGCTTCGAAATCGAACACACGGACGGGTACGGGTCGGTTTTCCCATCCGGGAAAATCGCGCGCGAAGGAGGGCGTTTCCGATATTTTCTCAAGGCCACGGCCAATTTCGGACCACGAGCGGATCAAATGCCATAGCAATGAGCCATCCATAACGGCGTGGTTGGCTGCGCAACCCATGAAGAGGCCGTCCTTGAGCTCTATCATCTGGATGGCCAATAGCGGCTCGGAGGTCCCGTGAAAGTTGCGGGTCCAATTTAGTTGAAAGAAGGAGAAGACGATATCCGGCGTGTACTTGGCCTCCAATATGTGGGCCACCGACACTTTGGGGGCGGCCGTGTGGATGAAGCCGGCGCCTTTGTTGTTGCAGTCGAATTTTTCGATGGAGAGGTGGCCGGCGAGTGGGGGGAAGTAGTCGAGCACGCGGGAGAGTGAGGCTTTGAGGTATTCGATAATGAAATTGATGGGGAATGTGGGCTTGTGAAATAGAATCCCATATTGGATTGGTTCGAGTAAGAGCAGTTGCAAGTCCCATGGAGTTAGATCGAGACGGGACACCGGAGTTGCGTCGACAGACGCCATAGGGACAAGGCTTGATGACACTACTTCAACTTTTGCCATCGATCCTTTTTTTTTTTTTTCTTTTGTTTTGGCAAGGAAATAATGTGATAATTGGTTATGTTGAGAAAGGTGTTGTGCATGTATTTATTGTACAAAGTTTTTTTTTCAAACTAACACCCCAGTAAGGTGGGGGGTTAAGGCCGAACCCCCTACCTGTATATAAAAAAGTCCTAAATTGGCTGAAAAGCCACAAAGCTACAAGTCCAATTTTTGATATGCATCAAGTCAAACGAAAACCAAAAAACAAAAGCAAGAAAAAATACAAAGAACAACTGACAACTATAGCGAAAAATACAAAAGTAACATATACTGGTCTGGGGGGAGTCCTGGCGAAAAAAGTCAGCATCACAGTGTGGCAGATGCGCTAAAAGGTAGGATCGGCTACACAAATCTGAATGAAGGGTATCCCATCTGGTCCATCCGTATGAGAGTGCGGAGGCGGAGAGGAATATCGTCAGGATAAAGAATGCGTCTCTGGGGGTGGAGGACCCAATGCCAGCGAAGAAGTCAGCTGGTCGGTTCTCCTCGCGGAAGATGTGTGAGATCCGATAGCTATTTATCGTACAAAGTTGACTTGGTAGAATCATGGATGAATAAAGAAAAGCACCACATGATATGCGCGGGGGTCTTATAAATGTGTAGAACAATCATTGATGAATAATCAATGGCGGATCTACATTGAGACCAGCCTAGGCTAGATTTTTTGTGCTAATACACAATTTATATATTTAAAATTAAAATTTAATATATAATATTTGTAAAAATATAAATACACTTATTTATTTTAAAATTATAAATAATTCTTACAAAAGAACATTAGTTTTCTATTTAAACGATGCACCTCACCTGTCAGATTCAACAATCTTATATTACATTAGGCTTGACAGATAAATTTATTGTTTTTCAATTATAATTGATGGATATTTAAATTTTATTAAGAAAAATCAAATAGATATAATTATTTTAATTTATATATACGATATAAATGTCAAATTATAGATCGTCAAAATATGACTAATTTCATTTATCATATGTAAAAAATAATAACAAATATAAATGTTATTAACTTTTAAAATATATTTGCAATTTAAGTTAGCCGAGCGTTCAAATTTGAAAGTTCTAGATAAAGGTACATATTTATATGGACTATTTTGAATCCTTGGACACTAACAAATAGAATTACAAAGTATTGGTAGTTGACAATGAAAAACTCTAGTAATAAGATAATCCATTGGAACTCTTTATAAAATAACAGAAATACAAATGATGACATTTAGACTTTTCTTAAATTAATAAATTATATTTCAAAATGACTTGCTTATAAATTATTACAAAAAATGAAGGAAAAGTGATTATAAAATATTTTCGGTATATTTTTTAATAATAATAAAAATGCAAAATCAAATAACCAGACTTTATTCTCCATTTCATTTTTTAGTGCAAAGTCAATTTGAACAGAGAACACTTCAAGACTCGATTGTTTAAATGATTTATTTAATTGTTAATATAAGTATTTTATGCAATATTATTTGAAAAAATTAACTATTTTTTGCCCAGGCTAATGGAGATTTCTGGAATTTCTGGATCCGCGGCTGCTGTGAATAATCAAAGGCATCACATCCTATTATTCTCCTCCTACAGTTTGAGAATTATGGTATTAACAAAATGGCGACATGTGCTGCTTGTAGGTCAACGCTTAATTTATTTACAATTTTGCGTACAGTTGTATAAAGCTTCTCTTCAACCAAACGCAATACACATATGCAACTGCATGATTAAAGTTAAAACGCAAAATGGGATTTTGATTGCGTTCTCTCTCCAAATACAATGTCATTATCCTTTATTGCTTGATAAATTAAACATATTATTAGCATCATTAAAATATTCAAGATGTCCTTAATTTATATATTGGATTTATTTATTAAATAAATTAATTACCGGACTCCATCCAAATTATTACTAATGGAAAATGAATTAGACTGGTATATCCTGGACTATCATTTTTTGTCTAAAAAACAGTATAAAAATAAATTCTGTTATGATTTTTTCATTTACTAGTAAAGTGCACGTGCGATGCACGTGATGACGAATGTTTTTTACCTATTAAATTTAGTAAGATAAATTAATTAAATTATTACACATATGATTGTAGGAACAAAATAAAATGTAGAATAAATAAATTTTTAATGCATTTTTTTAAATAACAAAATGATGCCGTAACATAAAAAGATTTAAATATCATATTACAACTCCAACAAATATATATGAAAAATGAGTTCCTAATAAAAAACAATAAATGACTAAATAAAGACATAATGTATACTGTAGATGCATGAGTTCTTTTATTTATTTATGTTTTCATACTCGTTGAATTCTAATACATCAATAGTATTGCAAAATTCTTCTTAATTAATTTGATAAAACGTCTGTTTTATTCAACACTTAGAAATACGTTAGTCAAACATATAGTCAAACTTAATGATTGTATGATCATTATAAGGTATTTCTACTAACAGTTCATAAGTATCTTTGTGAAATAAACAATTGTAGCATTAAATTTCTTGATATTTGTGTCATTAAAATTCTTGATATTTCTTTTAATCACTGTATAAACTACTACATTTCTCTCTCCCCCTCCCCCCCCCCTCTCTCTCTCTCTCTCCACATAGGCAAATTGGTACTTACCTCATGAGGTGGGAATGAATTTCATCTCTAACTAAAATTTGATTTTCCAATTCATGTACTTATCTGAAGATGTATTAAATTATTTTTTTTGAAATCATCACACATTATATGAAAATATATACTCTAAATAATTGCGCGTATAATCGAGCACAATACACAATTATGATTGTAAATATTCCTATCAAAGAGTGACAACTTATTCAACATTCAAAAATATTTTGATTAGAATCAAACATTCTCTTTTCAGTGTTATTTATTTGGAAGAGAAATACCTTCCATATTCTTTCGGATTCGCAATATTTATGTGTCTAATAACATTTAATGCATTTATTGTCCAACTTTTTGTACCATAACTATTGCTTAAAAAAATCAAGATAAAGATCCGTTATTGATTCTTCAATAATAACAAAACAAAACAAACAATGAGACAATATTGAGAAGCATATTATTTGTCAAAATATTTCAGATGTGAAGAATTTGAATTATACTATATTATGATACTCTTAGCCATCTGTTAACTTTGTTATTATGAAGTCATTATTAAAGTTTGTGGTCTATCTTATTATAATATCGAATCATTATTTATGAGAACCAATTTCTTATAGAGAACATATACTTAAATGATAACAGCAAAAAAGTAGTAATTTTAAAAGATTTTTGTTTCTTGATATTAGTATTCATACTTTTCTAAAAAAAATAGATTTTTGTTTCTTGATATTAGTGTTCATAATTTTCTAAAAAAATTCAGAATTTTTCTTTTCCTCATTGCATTACTATTATTTTACTTGTTTTTTTATTTTATTCACAAAAAATATTTTATTTGTTGAAATAATTAGAGAACATTTATATGCAATGCATTTTTTTAGGTGTTTGATATTAATAATATACTTGATAAAAATGTAGTTTTATATTGTTTATAAGATTAAAAAGTTTTAAATTTTTTTCCATGTTCTAATAAAATATTAAGTAACTAATTCATGTTTATATTCACAAAAAATACATTTTACAACCATTATGGTGTCCCCTTTCAAGCAATAATTGAATAACAGTTTAACATACAACCCATTTATTTTTTTCTCTTAATTCACATATTTAATATTGGTAATTTTTGTACATTTACATCTATTTGCACTTTTTTTAGTATAAATTTTTCAAATCTATGTCAGAAAAATATACCACAAGTTGATCTAATGTCATTTTATAATTAATAATATTGATTTAACAGGAATCTATAATTATTTTACAAGATTTTTTTAGGTCTATTTATTACTTTAAATTGCTATTGATAAATATATATATATATGTTATTTTATATCGATAGAAATAATTATATTATTTTTATTTTATTTCCAAAACATTGGTAAAATCAAATATCATGGGAAAGAAATGATGTGATATATTACATATAAAAGGGTAACAAAAAAAAATTAAGTATTTCAAATTAAAAAATAATGGTAAAGATTAACTAATTTTTTAACTAAAAAATTATGGCTAACATACCGATTTCTAAGACAAAAAAATAAATATATTTTACATTTATCCTTCGCTAGCTCCAATTGATATAGGACATTTATTAATTTTATCAGTTTTTTACTTTTTGGTGGAATGTGAGTTATAAACTTTCTTGTTGTGTAGTTTTACCTTTTTATTACGTAGAACATCATTCTTACATCTTGTTTAGTATTAATATTACCTTTTCAGTAGAACATCATTCTGACCTCTTCTTTAATTATTATAATACTAATAAAATATTTAATGACTTTTCAACTTAGATGTATCTTTTTTTTTAAATTACTAATTATCATAAATTAAATATGTTATATTTTGTATCACTATCAACAATTTTCAAAACAATTAACTGAACACAATATTATATATAGTGCAAAAAAAATTTTTAGTTTGATTTGGAGTCATAAAAATGATGAAATTCCAATGAAAACATATTACAGCGGAATTTCAACAACAGTTCAAACGAATATTTCAACGTTACTATTCTCGTTTAAATTTTTCAATGAAAATTTTAACAAAAATATTTTGTTGCAATCATGTGCAGATCCATGTTTGTCCAATAGTCCCGAAACAGGCCTCATCCCAAAACAAGTAGCATAAGATATCTAACAAACATTATGGGAAGAATTTTTATAATTTTAGTCATGTCCTCTATTTAGAAAATAAAATTAAAAGAATAAAGACAAATAATGAATTAATTTACGGTTCAACCAATTATAATTAATTTCAACTCATAGCGTTATTAAAGTTATAACATCAAAGCAGTATTCCAACTAAAGAAAATATGATATTTATCAAAGTTTACAATTTTAAGCTTTATTTCTCTCTTTTCTTTTTATTCTTGATGATATCTCATTATCTCTCTTTTGCGACATAATTTTTATCTAATTTTAAAAAATATATTTTATGTCTTTTAAGTGTATGTAGAATTCTAGTTATATATTCATAATTTATACATTCATCTATTATATTGTCGAGTCAACTATACTACAACATAAAATTTTTGTTCATAATTTTTTTTTGAAAAATGTATTATTTTTTGGTGATTTTCTTATGTCGTATTGAGAAAAAATATGCTATTTTTAAATATTATTGAAGTTATTGTGATTGTATTGATGTGTTAAAAAAAAATAATACATATGAGAAAGTTGACAAATTATGAAAATTATACTTTATTAATTGTAATGACATTATGTTATTTTGATGCTATACTTTTTGTATTAATTAAATAGTGCTCTTAACATGAAATTATTTTGGATTCGCCATTGCAACTATTTTTTTAATGGAACTTTCATTGTTTTTCCCAATTTCAGTGACAATTTTTTTAATGCTTGAAATATGGCCGGAAAAAAAATCCAACATAAATTCACACAAAAATAAATATTAGTAATTGAGATATTAAATCTACAAAAATTTCAATGTAATTTAATTTAATCCCCATTGGAATAGCCCGTGAATCTTTTCAATAGAAGCTATACCAATGAAATATCTGTTGGTATTTTCTGCGGAATACCTTACTGTTCGATTTTTCATTATAATATGAAATTTTTGAATTCTTTCATAATCATTAAAATTTTTATGTAGTAATTTTTTTATTTATTAATTGTGTTTATAATTTTTCTTTTAAAAATATATTAAAACATCTACTTTTTAGTCCATATAATTTTCTTACAAGTCACTCGTTATGTTATGCGTAGATTACCTATTAATTTTTCAATTGAATTACTTTCCCTACATATTAATGAAAAGAAGTATTGTTTTATATATGCAATATGATATTTATATATTATATTAAAAAAGCTAATAACAAATAAAAAAATTATTTAAAATTACAATAATCAATTTATTTTTAAAAAAAAATTAAAAGCTATAACCTACATGTATTAAAGTACAAATAACTATTATCAATAACCTAAAACTTACACCTATAACTAATAAGCACAAAAAATTAACAATCGTTTAAGCTCATTTAAATTGATATGTGCAAGTTTTAAAAGTTTTATATTTATACTTATTAATTATAAAATTTTTATTTATTACTTTTTGCATATGTATTAGTAAGTATTACAACTTAATTATATTTTTAATATTATGTATCACATTTAATATTTTCTTACTTTATATTGCTTTTTCATATATATATATATATATAACTTTCAAATTTGTTAAAAAAAATGCATAAAATTAAGTATATAACTTTTTTTGGTCATATGTCTTATTATATCCATTATAGTTGTACATCTTTATATTATATTATGTATAATTACAATTTTCTCATTTATATTATTATCAAATATTAAACAAAAGATATTTTGTACATTTTTTTTAATAAAGTTGCTTTATTGTAATAATACATATTAATTGATAGGTGAGTAATGGTACTATATCGATATAAATTCTTGGTAAAAATTAGTTAATTTCAACGTATAAAGGCATATCATAATTCTCTATATATTTTTAATTAATGATGGATAAAAATACAAATAACTATTGTCTATCATATAAAACTTACACTTAGAATTAATAAGAGGAAAAAATTAACAAGCGTTTAATAACACCTGAATTGCGTTAAGAAATTGAATCCACCAAAAAGCCCATATTAACTCTCTTAATTCCTCTAGTAGTGACTCAACTCGTTTACATCGATATTTATTAACTATAACATTTTATTGTTACTTTTTAATATTTATTAATAAGTGTTACAACTTAAACGGATTTTTAATACTATTTATCAAATTTAATACTTTTTTCGTTTATATTGTTATTTATATGTTTATATATATGTGTGTGTGTGTATATATATATAACTTTTATATTTGTTAGAAAAGTGCATAAAATTAAATATAGAACCTTTTGGGTCATATGTCTTATTATATATCAATTAATTATACGTAGTTCTATTTTATTATATATAATTATAGTTTTCCCATTCATTACATGAAAATAAATAGACTGGGTTTTTAGTATTATACATTTTCATACAATTATTCTAACCTTATTTTAAGCAAAGAAATTGGGTTGATTAGAAGTTTAGATTGCAAAATAATCATTCAACAATTAATCTCTCATACTATTACAAAAATTATTAATCCTCATACTATTACAAAAATTATTACTTGTTATAGGTTATTTTGAAAGAAAAAAAATGTTTTTATACTTTATGGTCTTTATGAGGACAACATAATGGGTTTCAATAATTTTACTTATAGTTATTAATAATAAATGACTAATGGTGACATATGATATAATTATTGGTAAAAAAATAATTAATTTTCAGGCATATCATGATTCTTTAGATATCTTAATTAATTCATAGATAATTGTATGATTAAAATAAAACCATGCTGCTCAACTAATATCCCATTCGACATGAAAAAAATTAGATCGGGTTTTAGTATTATATAATTTCATAAAATTATTCTAATCTTATTTTACGTAAAGAAATTGAGTAGATTAGAAGTTTAGGTTGCAAAATAATTATTCAAAAATTTATCTCTCATATTATTATACAATTTATTCTTTTTTTTATACGTTATTTTGAAAAAAAAATATTTTTATAGTTTGTGGTCGTTATGAGGACAAACAACATCGATTGTAAATATTTTACTTATGGTTATTAATAAACTTGTAAAATTAAATAAATATTGTTGAAACAGTTATCTTACTTGATAAGATACTTACGGTTAAATAAACCCTTAAATTTTATTTTGAAAATCATAAAAGTATTTAAGAATCTTGAATAATATCAATAAATAAAATATTTTATATATAAAATTTTGAATTATAATCGTTTATAGATCGCTCAACTTGAAAATCAATTAATCAAATGAAATAATAATAATAATTAAAGTGTCATGAACATTTTTTATTAATAATTGAATGAAAAATTCATATATTTTAAGTGTTAATAATTAAAAAATTACGCAACTTGATTTTAATCACCTAATGGTCACATGAAGATTCGTTAACTCTATTTTATTTAATTAAATATTAGTGATTAACTAAAAATATAAGATTTTGAAGAGTATTAGTGTATTATTAATTTGCCATTAAAAATAAGTCAAAGTAAGAATTTTTTTAGGTAGTTCATTTATTAATTAAAATATAAAATAAGATGGGTATTATTGTATTACTAATTTGCCATTAAAAATATGTCAAAGAAAGGGTTTTTTAGGCAGATCATTATTTTTATAAAATCACTCGTCCTTTTATAATAGTATAGATATAGATATAGATATAGATATAGATAGATAGATAGATAGATAGATAGATATAGATAGATAGATAGATAGATATAGATAGATAGATAGATTAGTTATAACCAAATCTAATTTTATTTATATTTTTTATGAGCAGATCAATATATTTATTTATTTTGTATGCGGAGAAAATTGTGGCCTGAACCGGAATTGATAAAATATCAACATTAAATAATATGAAATTATTTATTAATATTGCAGATTCTTGCAGTAGAAATCATAAGTTGGTAATATTTGGTACACAACTTTCTCCGCATCAAATCTACAATGAAGGAAAAACTCTGAAACAAAACAAATTAATTAAATGACTTCCGTGAACTCAGCGTCCTCCTCCAACGCCGCCATAACCTCTGGCGCCAGGCAGACCTCGACATCAATCCCGTCCCCTTCAGCCGCCGTAAAAACCGTCACTCTCCCATCCCATTTCTGGGCCTTTCCACCCCTTACAGCCACCGGCTTCCCCAGCCCCACATTCCCCATGCCGCCGTACGCATCGAACTTTGGAAAGCTCGTCACATCCAGCGTGTAACTCCCCTCGACGTGCACGTGCAACCGAGGCTCCTTCACCCACTCCTCCAGAAAACCCAACACAACCTCCTCCTTCCCTTTCCCGCCAAAAAACTCCTTGAGCCCCAGCGCAGCTCGCCCCAACACCTCTTCTCTACTCACGCAAAGCCTTGAAACATCGATGGCGTTCCCAAAATACCCTTCCGGCACCCGGATTTTTCCTCTAGCCCCGACTGCCGTTACAAAAACTTCCTCCCTCTTCCCGCCCGTCTTTTCCCGGCTACGCGCCACGCACCGCCATATATGAGCCACGATCACCTGGACCGACGTAAATTCTTGGCCTTCCGAATTCTCCCTCGCCTTTAGCTTCGCCACGCTCTCCTTGCTTATGTGGAAAACCCTCTCGACCAACGGGGGCCGCACGATCTTCGCATCGAACTCGGGCACACGGACGGGTATGGGTCGGTTTTCCCATCCGAGGAAATCGCGCGCGAATGAGGGCATTTCCGATATTTTCTCACGGCCACGGCCAATCTCGGACCACGAGCGGATCAGATGCCACAGGGACGAGCCATCGACAACGGCGTGGTTGGCTGTGCAACCCATGAAGAGGCCGTCCTCGAGCTCCGTCATCTGGATGGCCAATAGCGGCTCGGAGGTCCCGTGAATGTTGCGGGTCCCGTTTAACGGGAAGAAGGAGAAAACGATTTCCGGCGTGTGCGTGGCCTCCAATATATGGGCCACCGACACGTCGGTGGCGACTGCATGGATGAAGCCGGCGCCTTTGTTGTTGCAGTCGACGAAATAAACGGCCGTATTTTCGTTGTTGGTTTTTTCGGTGGAGAGGCGGCCGGCGAGTGGGGGGAAGTAGTCGAGCACGCGGGAGAGTGAGGCTTTGAGGTAATCGATAATGAAATTGATAGGGAATGCGGGTTTGTGAAATAGAATCCCATATTGGGTTGGTTCGAGTAAGAGCATTTGCAAGTCCCATGGAGTTAAATCGAGACGGGACATCGGAGTTGCGTCCACGGACGCCATTGGGACAAGGCTTGATGATACTATTTCAACTTTTGCCATTAATTCCCTTTTTCTTCCTTTTCTTTGGCAAGGAAATGTGATGATTGGGTATTGAACAAGGCTTTGTGAACTTGGTAGAATCGTGGATGAATAAAGAAAAGCACCACATGATGCGCGCTGGGGTATTATTATAAATCTGAAGAACATTAATCAATCATTCATGAATAAAGAAATGCATCACGTCTTATCATTCTCCTCCTACAATTTAGAATTATAATGGCGACATGTGCTGCACGTAGGTCAACACTTAATTTATTTACAATTTTGCATACAGTTATATGTGTCCATAATCTTCTCCACCCAAACCGATACACATGCAACTGCATAATGAAGTTCACATGCAAAATACGATTTTGATGGCGATCTCTCTCCTCCAAATGTATAGAACTTCTTGTCGTTTATGGAGTCTAAAGGTGAATATACTTTACTCTTGAATTATGTGGACAACGGCATTTTATAAATACTTGTTCACATAAAAAACGAACATATCAAATTTACTCACGATTTAATTTTTCTTTATTAGTACAAATTCATTTGCTTTTTTTATATAGTTCCTTGAGAATTGAGATGTGACCAATTAACTCATCAAAATTACATTATATAATGACGGGGTCGGAGAGAAGAAAAAAAAAATAGTATTGTAATTATTAAGTGGAAGAGGTCTAGGTAAGGTCGTAAATATTAATAAATTTATTTGTATTTATTATCTTATAATTCACAAAATATAGGGAAAAATTCAAAATTAGTCCCACAGATATAGGGGGGTGACAATTTTGGTCCCGACGGAATGCACAAAATATGAATAGTCCCACAGTTTTTAAAAAATGATCAAAAGTAGGACTTTTTCGCCGGATTTACTATTTTCGGCCCGGAACACCACGTGGCGCACACGTGGCTTATTTTTTACACGCTGGCGCACACGTGGCTTAGTTTTGAATTTTTTCCTAGATAGGAAAAAATTCAAAACTAGTCCAACAAGTATAGAGGAGTGACATTTTTTGTCCCGATGGAATGCAGAAAATTCAAAACTAGTCCCACAACTTGTAAAAAAATATGAACACGTCGGATGCCACGTGGCATTCCGGGCCGAAAATAGTAAATCCGGCGAAAAAGTCCTACTTTTGATCATTTTTTAAAAGTTGTGGGACTATTCATATTTTCTGCATTCCGTCGGGACCAAAATTGTCACCCCCCTATTCCTGTGAGACTAGTTTTGAAATTTTCCCCAAAATATATTATATAAAATATACTACCTCCTATTATTTTTAAATGTCATTCTGGTTTTATCAAGCATTAACCAAATAAATGACGTTTTGGATCTTTTGTATATATTTTTTTATCATTACTCTCATTTAGCTAATAAATACACCACGTCTTTTCATATCCACTCTTAATTTTCATGTTATTAATTATTAAAGAGGGTTATTATTGGCAAAAAAATATTCTTAATTATTGTGCAACTTTTCAAAACGACACATATCATGAATAGGAGGAAGTACTAGTTAATACATATAAATATAACGATGTTTCAAACTAATATATTCGTAGTGATTATATTAATTTTAATATAACTAGTTTTAAATTTATAATTATTGTATATCTTATTTAGAAAAATCAAAATATATGTTTACTATATTTTCAAAAAATATTTAAATTTATAATTATTGTATATCTTATGTAGAAAAATCAAAATATATGTTTACTATATTTTCAAAAAAATATTAAAATATATAATAATTTATACGGACGCTTAGGCAACCCCTGTACTATCTCACCAACTTATGGTTCACAACCATCTATTACGGTTAGGCTTCGCCTAGCCCACCTATACGATGCCCAATCGTTCGAGCATCGTTTAGAAGAAAATCAGGACTTTGGGGGTGTCAGATAATGCTTAGGGGCCTAGCCCAAATTTTAAAACACTAGTGAAAATGCATTTCGAACAAAACAATAAAAACTTCATAGGGAAGCAACAATAATAAAGAAATAAACAAACTATGCACGAATACAAATGATGAAAAAAAAAAAAAGTAGAAATTAAATTTGAAAGGAGAATTGAACAAGGAGATTTTGTATGTGGAGGGCTCTATAAAATTTGAATGGAGGGGCTACTCAATACAAAGTAGCAAAAGAAAAGCATAAAGTTAAATCCATACATTGAGCTCAAGAAACAAGATGGTTATTTTTGGTGCATAGAGTGAAGAGCCTGGATTTTTATTCTAAAGTGGGCTTAGCATAAAGCAATTATGCTTGATAATTTGTATGTTTTTTCTTTTGTGTTGTATATTTTTTTGTTCTCATAGCTAATACCAATACTCCACTTTATCTGGCTTCCTTGCGACTGTAGCAATCCTAACTTTGGCTGGCTTGTGTCTCAATTCTTGTAACCCATTTATTTTTTTCCCCTTTTATGGATAGATTTGGAACTACATTTAACTAGTTCTCGTGTAACTTACATCATTGATTATACCATAAAGACTTATAATTATTTGATTATTCCTCTACTAGTATATATTTAGTATATATTAGTGCAGATGAAAGAATATTATTAACATTTATTTAAATGTGTAAGTTATGTGAAATGCAATTTATCATATATTAGTATAAATATAGAAAAGAGAAACAAAAAAAAAATGCCTATATTAACGTATATGTCAAAATTTTACTTAGTACGCGTTCTATTATCTAATTAAAGTTCAAATATATATTTGTGCGGGAGCATCATGTGAAATGAATATATTTCCTACATTGCTATTATTAATGTACATTATTTTATTTTTTGACAAAGTAGTGTACTAAATTTGATGTAGTACATTGTAATTTTTTTGCCGGGTTCAATCCAACATTTATACCTCTTCCTATCCCCAAAACAATTTCCCCATTCATTAGATCGAGTTGTATTTAATCATGCCCGACTTCATAAATAATTTTGTAAACTAATATCTTTTTATTTTCTAAATTCCAAGTTAAATCTATTTTCTTATTACGTCGTGAGTGCAAGAAAGCTACGTGGAAAATCAATTTCGGTCATCCCTTTGAAAGTTGGTCCAAAAAGAGGAAGGGGAACAAAATGTGGGGAACTAAATGCAAATAATATTCTTATCTTCCAAAGAATGTCATTTTCCAACTCAACTTTTTTTGCTTCAAAACATGTCAGATGACTCATAATATATCAGTCTTCTAAATCAGCCTTATATGTTTGCTTCCATGCAGGGACTCATCATTGGAAATGAATCTCAACTTCCCTATATATATTGGGCCCCCACTTTTTGGCTTTATTCACTTTAACCCCCCAAATAAAAACTGGTGAGACACATTCTTAGTAACACAGAAGCCTTGGAGCTCCAAGAACATCATTCATTTTTCTTACATAAACTTTTTTTTTCTCCAAATTTTGCAGCACACAAAAAATGAACTGCCTAACTTACAGGCTCCTCATTCTTGCCATTTGTTGTATCGGTTTGTTTTCGACCCGGCCAGAAAAGGTCTCAGGGTTGAGAAAAACCGAGCTTTTTTCAAGAAGCGTTAGAAATCTTAACAAGCAAGATTTCAAGGTGCCGTCAAATGCAGAGCCTTCAACTGCACGAACATTAGATCCAAACGAGTCCCAGAAAAGAAGAGTCCATCGAGGATCGGACCCGATTCACAACAAATGCTTATGTACTTAGTTTGGTTTATTTCTCTGTAAAGCTACTGGCAGAGGCCAAACAGCATAAGTTCTTTCTATTTTTTTATTTGTTCGAAAGCCAGACGAATCTTGTCTGTAATGGGGCTGTAAAATGCAGCATGGAAGGAACAAGTAATACATGCAATCAATTTCAGGATAATCTCAAAAGCTAGCTAATTATCGACTCTTGATATCTATTTGTATTGCAAAATTACAACCTTGAGAGTTGGCCAAGAGGAGGTAATTTGTAAAGTAAGCAAAGACTTCAAGGAATTTCCATCATTGTTTGTAATATTTAGATGAGAAATGTGTTCTTTTGTGATCAGGCTAAAATGTCAAGGGTGGTTTTCGCAATTTAACTAAACAGATCCTAATCCTAGCTCGATTTACCGTGCAAAAACAGTTGTTTTCTCCTGATCATTTCATATAGTTCATCTTTAATGTTAAGATGTAAGTAAATCTTTTGCATACAGTTTCAAGTATTTAGGTCTAGTGTTTTCTTTTCCACAACCATATCATGCTTCAAAAACTAAAATTTATAATCATCCTACAGAAGAACCCGAGGCATGGCTATATAAATCGATCAACCAAAAACCAAAGACAGAAAATGTACACCGGTGAAAACAAACAAAGCATGCCCAAAATCGATTTTTCTTGCATTATATTCATTTAGCACTCAAAACCCCTCAAAGGGTACTCTTACTCTAAACAAACTTACCTAAAGAGCCACGATCTGCTGTATCTATTCTTACGGTGGGCATTCAGCCGAGCCATCCTCGTATTCTTTCGCGCAATCGTCTGCCAAATCATATCCACAGCATCGTTCGCCTCAGAAGGGAACCGATACTCGAAATGCCCACTCACTTCCTTCAATTTTTCCCACATTTCAGTCCACTTTTCCCGAGAAACCCCCCTCAGAAGTTTCAATAGGTATCCCTTTTTCAAAGCATCAGCTGACCGAACAAACACGCAAAATTTGGAATAATCGAGTACATCCTCAAAGGGAAGCTCTATCTCGTCACTGATTATAACGGGCACACAGTTAGCAGCAATGGCATCAAAAAGGCGGTTTGAAGAAGGCGTGTCGCCAGCTATGTTGAGGCAGAATTTGGAAGAAGCCATTCCTTTACCGGCATTTTTCACGCCTTTTGATTGGGCTGTGCCAAACGTGAAGTGGACATCTTTTTCGTCTTTTAGTAGGTAATAGAGTTCTTGACGTATTGCCCCACCCTGAATAGTATAAAATCCAATAAAAAGATCACAATCATGTTGAAGAACAATACAAAAAAAAAAATAATAATAATAATAATAATAATTATTATTATTATTGAAACAGAACACGAGTACAAAAAATGAAAAATGAAAAAGACCACAATCTGAAGTACTATGTTATGATCTTAAGGCTACTTATACAGCCTGTGCTCGAAAAAATACTGTGACCCTTAAATCTTCAGGAGAGAACTGTCATCTTTCTATGCTAGTAAAGGGAGTTATTTTTAATGATGCACTTGTGTCGGGCAAATTCGCATGATAAAAAACCAATCCTCAAGATGATTTTGGTCATTTGGGAAAAACTCTTGATTTTCAGCAAATTGCCCCCAACTTCAGAGATGGTTTTTCTGGTTGCTCTATTGGTAAAGAGTAAGTACTAAAATGCCATGCCTAAATACACTTCGGTCTTTCATAAGTGTATAAAAGTATACGATACACAATCATATCAACCACACAGAACAGCATAATCGATCTTAAAGACTCCACTTTCAACGAGCAAACGAGGCAATTGTTTCCCATATGCAGTAATCGATGCCTCAAAGGCCAAAGATACACTTTCTCCACACATTCCANAAAAGGAAGCAAATAAATTCCAACTTACATCTTTCCTGTAAATTGCTCCTTGGAAAAACACTAACGTGGGCCGTTCATCAAAACATGCCGACTCGCCATCCGGAACCTTCCTCACCATATGCTTGTAAGGAGCAATCACATCCTTCTCCAAGTTAGCCACCTTACTCGAGTACCTCCCGAAATCCGAGAGCACAAACATGCAAGATCCCAATTTTCTCCTCACAAACAACATGCTGTTCGGGTGATGAGCCATGATGACATGATCCTTCCCGCCCGATTTTCTCCACTCCTTCCTATTCTTCAAAAAATCGACCAATTTCTCCTGAAGCACTCGATCCCCACCAAACTTCTGGCCATCGTGATGACGCTTGGAATTGCGGTTGTAACTTAAGGACGAGAAAAATGGGACGAATATCACATCTGCTTCGTTCGGGTTCGTGACTCTAACTGCAGTACACGGCCGAGTTATATTTTCATTGCTCGATGCAAGAAGATCAAGCGTGAGCCAGTATTCTATGCTGTGCTGTAGATTTAGCCCACCTGGATAAGATGGTATAGCCTTTCGGTCAGCTACATTAGGCCACGTTTGGCTAGCGGTTGAATTCCAACCGAGAAGCCCGAAATGGAATTGGGGCGGCAAGTCGTACATGTATACTCTCAAAAGGGCTCGGCTTTTGTCGCATTTTCTTCGAATATTATATTTTTCGGGCTCGTCTGAAGTTTTCTCTGGGGGCACAAGATCTTGAACTGTGATATCTTGTTTCTCTAAGGTTTTGGTAAGGGGACTAATAGCTGGACTCTGCTGTTTGTTAGTTTCGGGATTCGGTTTAATGTTAATAGAGAAATTATTGTTATTATTTTTATTGTTGTTATTATTGGTCATGGTGATAAACTGAAGGACTGATTCTGGGATTAAGGAGGTGTTATTGAACTCTAGAAGTGACAGTGTAGAGGAAACTAGAAGAAGGATTGAAAAGGCTATTAGGCAAGAAAGAAGCTTTGAGGGAAATATACTCTTTTCAGACATTTTTTATCTGAAAAATTTCTAAAATAAGATGGAACTAATTTATGCAAGAAGAAGATCAAAAGGGAGGGGGGAAAAAATAAAAATAAAATCTTCCCACCTAACCAGTAAAAAGTAAAAACCTAAAAAAATTGGCCTTTACAAGAAAAGGCCTATTGAAATGCTTTCAATGCTGGCACATTCTCAGAACGAACTAACATTACAGGTAATCAATAATTCAACCACCTCTATCAACCTTCAACATCCCAAATAAACCACAAATATGAACATATTAAGGAAACAATCAATGCCAAAAAATTCAACCTGCACATACAAAACAAAGCAAAAAAGCAAATAAATAAATCAATCTGTTCACCAATACAATGTACAACCTAGAAATTTCAAAAAAATGAAAAAACGAAAAGATTCATGTTCATACAGAAATCAGGGCCATAAAAAGTATTATCAAGAAAAAAAAAAAAAAAATCTTTTTTTTTGCCCCCTTCAATCTGGGCCATAACATTCATCACAGACATCCTCAAACAAACAAAAAGAAGTGGCAAGAAAAGGAAAAAGAGAAACAAAAACAAAACATGCCTGGTTATTAGCTTGATTTTAACACGGTGGCACAAACTTTCGTTTGTTCATTGGCCCCAGGTCTATCTATGGCTTTCGCAGGTTTGAATATTCAACTTTCAATTATCAAAAGTGGGAACAATGTTTGACAAAAAAATAGGATTTCAGGTTTGTTGAGAAAGGTCACGCGCAGACAGTGTACATAAAAAATAAAGAGGTAAATCTAAAATTAAAATATATGCATTAATAATACTTTAATCTTTAGTAAAATTAAAATATATGCATTAATAATGCTTTAATCTTTAGTGCTATGTATTTTTAATTAGTGGTAAGGTAGGTTTGAAAGACTTTTCTCGTGATTGTCCCCTATCCCGATGGCACTCTACACCTTTTTATGTATTGACTTATATCTTGGCGTAATTTAAGGCAATTAATAATTTATTTGCCCCAGGAATTTTCGTTTTATCAGCTTATTATTTTTTATTTTTTTTTGGGTACAAATCAGCTTATTAAATTTAGTTTAACGTAAATCATACTTACCGTTACTCGACGGATGGTAAAAAAAATCTCAAGTAAAAGTCACTTCGTTTCTTTTTATTTGAGTTGACCGACTCCATTCGAAATTGGTTAGTTGTATGCCTTTAGATTCAAGTTAGTTTGATTTTGAGTTCAATTGCTAAAGGGAAATTTACACTCCTACTCAATGAAATGAAAATAACTGCATATGTACGGTTTGAAAGAAATATTAGCATCTATGCGAGATTTCTACAAATATAATTATAAAAGTGCATATTGTCAATTACCAAACAAAATGATTTTGTTCCTATAATTCCGTAACGAAGACAATCACAATTAAAGAAAAAAAAATCTATTAAACATGGAAAGAAGACACTGAACATGGCCATGTCGAAGAGGGCGATTTCTCAGCGTGACGACGGCTCTGAAGACGACTAGATTCATCTCCGCGAAAATTTGATTCGTTTTCTCGATGAGGTGTTGGTTCTCGGCCTGAACTTCGTAGGAGGCGAGGTTGCTCAGCCCGATTGTTCCGCGAAGAATGAGGATGGTGACGAAGCCACAAAGGATTATCTTGATGTTGTTGCAGGATTTGTGGATCTGCCTTCCAAGGGGGAGGACCGAGGCAGGGCGGCGCTGGTCGCGGCAACCCCCGGGAGCATGTTAGAGCTTTATTGATGTTGCTCGAGACGGTCGTCGGAAGCGCGCTCGATGGTTGCTTCTGAGCTGAAGACGTCCCATTGGGATCCATCAACGGAAAACACGAAAGTCCAAAAGAAATTTGGCGTCTGCTTGCGAGTTACAATATGTTTTTGGTATATATATTGTATATTTGTCGTATATATAATGTTTATAGAGCATGTTTGTGTTAGTTTTTGGTATATATACTGTATCTTTTTGTATATATACTGTATATTTTTCATATATATATATATATATATATATATATTGTTTATGTGATGGTTTTTAAAAACTTTATAGAGTATATTTGTGGTATATATTCTGTATATATGTAGTTCTCTCCTGTTCAAGGATTGAATCAATCTCATCATGCGCTTTCTTCATTTTGGAAGGATGTTATATTACTCGGACGAAAACATATGCTGAAAGTATACTGTATATATCCACAACATATACAGAATATAACTATCTATCAACGAATCAAGCACACCAATTGTTCGACAATATATCCTCTAAGAAGTTTTTTGTCGAAACGGATTGAATCATGGCCAAAAGAACACCAAGTTATTCGTCAAAACGGATTCAAGCACACCAAGTTTTTGTCAAAATGAATATCCAAAGCAACATAAACAATAATCAATCGAAAAACAAAAACAAATTTCTCATTTTTCGTCTCATATCAAATTATTCGTCAACAAAAAAATGTGCTAATATACTAAACATAAACTATACATAAACATAAAATAAACATTGAAACAATCCGATCGTAACTCGCCGCTGCTCACAAGCAGGGTTGCCGTCGCGTACTGAGACTCTGCATTCCCAAGACGAGCCCATGGCCGCAGCTGCTCGTCTCCGAGTCAAGCGAACCACTGCCCGTCGAAAGCGGTGGCGCCGGAGTCCATCATCGTCTCTTCAAAAAAGAACTGTAGGGATCCAACGCATCTCCGGCTTGAATGCTCCTTCACCAGCGGCCGCCAACCAGGATTTCGAAACTCCATCTCTCACTTTCAACGAAGTTCTCGTCGAGACTCAACTCGTCCATGTCGATTTTCTTCGCCTTGAAAAAAAATCAGAATCTTGTTTAGTGTCTATTATTGCAGAAGGAAAAAAAAATAAAAAAGACGTCGAAGGAGAAGAAAAGGCGGTTGGCGATTTGTAGTCGTCCATGGAAAATGAGAGGATGTGAAGAAGAAAATAGTTCGGATGAGAACAATGAATGGAGGAGAGAGAAAAGAATAAATTTGTTTTAAACTTCCTATCCAAATCCCACTAAATCCGCCACTATCCAAATAAAACGTAACTCATCCTTAATTAAAAAATTCAAAACAAAGAAACTGATGCTCATAGGATTACAAATAAAATAGTTAGGTTAGGCCCTTTTGGAGATGTCTACACAACTGGATTGGTACAAGCAGTGCTTTGAGGAGGAAGAAATTGGACATTAATGGCAACTGTTGCTGGTGTGATGAAGAAGAAGAGACTCTAGAGCATCTCATGTTCCAATGTGATAGGGCCAAAATTGTGTGGAAACTAGCTGGGCTATCTTGGGATTGCTTAATGAACAAGAGCACAACTCTTACTGACTGGTGGTTCAATCTCTGTTGCTTGAAAAACTCAGCCCACAACAAGGACAGGATCTCACTTTCAGTTTACATATTGTGGTGGTTGTGGAAAACGAGAAATACTTGCTTGTTTGACAGAGAGCCTACTTCTGAGCTAAAGCTTGTTGAAGGTGCTAGGAGAGAATGGCTAGAATTTCAAAATATCACAACTGCCAGTTCTAAGCAAAAACCCAGGGTAACTTCTTCTGTTGCATTCACAAGCTCTGGAGAGACTCAAGGAATAGGGCAGCTTCCTCAAGCTACCAGTGTTAATGAATCTTCTTCAGATGCTTTCTGTGCTACAGGCATAGCTTTCTCAGACAATATGGAGGTGGCCAGCTGTCTAAAATCATTGCAGGTTCCCAAACATCAACCAAGAGATACATCACTGCTGCAAATTCGAGCTTGGTTGGAAGAAGGACTTGCATTTGGTTGGCAGAAAGTTGTGCTCACAGTGACAGATAAAGACTTACATCAGATATTGGCTGGGAAAGATCAATGCTCTCCAAATTGTGCTATCCTAGTAAATGACATTCAGTCTTTTCTTTCTTTATTTTCTGCTTATGTGCTTGTGAACTATGTTTAAGTGTTGTTTCTTTTTAGTGTTCTTAGTGGTTTGTTATGTTTAGTGCGGCCATGTTTGGTCCTTCAGGTCGGCTCTTCTTGAGTCTTCCCCGCCTATTTCGGTAATTCAATGTTAACCGAGATATGCTGTAGCCTTTTGGCTGCTCGTACTGTGTTTGTACATTTTGAGTTCTTATCTAATATATTTGATGTTTGATAAAAAAAAAAAATATATATGGGTAGTTTATATGTAATAAAAATTGTTGGGAGTCGTTCAGGAGGTAAATTTCTCATTGGTAAAATATAAAAATCAAAAAGGATGATTGGGGTATTGTACGAGTTTTGCTTTGGTTTCGGGGTAGGTATATTGGGCTTTCGACAATCCGGGCTAAAGTCTATTAATTAAAAAATTCTAAAGTTAATTATTTAAATCCAAAAATTTGAATATAGAAATATAATTTTAGTTAAAATATATTAATAAAATAACAAACACACAAATTTTATAAAATAATTTTAAAGTATATTTAATGTTTCTTGTTATGTACAGAAAGAAGAGTAATTTTGTTACATTTTTTTTTTTTAAATCATAACAAATTTAGTAAAGCAATAAATTTTAGAATAAAAGTAGCAATTGAGTATTATACGATGGACAAATATATGCAACACTATTTTTCTCTTTGTTAAAAAGTAAATATAGGTATAAGATATTATTTATATTTTAATAAACGGACTTTATGACTAATTGATAAACTTGTAGACAACGATTGAGGAAAAAATGATTAAATTAATCGAAAAGTAAAAGTCCTAACCCTATTTTTGTGTTGGTATTAAACGGGTTGGCATTACAAACTTTCTGTTTTACATGTCTACTACAATTTTTTGAAAATTTTTACAATAATACAGTATTCAAAATAAAATCATTCATAAATGAGTCATAAAATAAACAATGTTATTTAAAAACAATGAAAACGTAAACTACAGGTCAATCACTCATAAATAATATTAAAATTTAGTATATGATATTAATAAATAAAACAACTTTGTACCGCATAAAAAATGAATTTGGAGGTAAAGCAATGTAATTTAATCTACAAACTTTGTCCATATAACATTTGTATAGACCACTGCAACGCCTTTTTATCCCAGCTAATCAGCCTGCTTACAGTAATTACACAACTTGAACTAATTTCTTGTAAATAAATGGGCCTCCTTTGGATTCACAGCATTACCCGTTGGCCCAACTTTCATACCCAAAGAAAAAAGACAATAGAGCCAGGAGTGAATATAAAACCTATAAAGAGTGGGGAAAATGACACTCTATATAGCTTTTAAAATATTTATTACTCATTTATATCAATATATATATTATTCGACAATTAACCAAATATATCGTTATTACACGTATCTAAAGGTCAAATTAACTTTCAAACTATTTAATAAGCCCCATGTTTTATATTTTATATTTTATATTTTAATTTATGCCAACTATTTAGATAGATGTTTTTTAGGACAAATATAAAGAACATTTTTTTCAGAACGAGTTATGAATGCCCCTTATGTATTTTAGATGGAATCTAATTTATGGAAAATATATCATGTGGAAAAGAATGGTTACATTAAGTAATAATTTTATTACAAGATTACCATCGCCCATTTACCATTGTAAAAATCTGTTTTCTATTGTATTTTTTCTACTCGTATTTATATAAAGATCATTTTTTTAGAACGAGTTATGAATGGCCGTTATATATTCAAGATGGAATTTACGAAAAAAATGGTTATACAGAGTAACAGATTTAGCCCCCATTTTCTATACCAGTCTTCTGGAAACCATTATAAAAACATGTCTTCTATTGTATTTTTTCTACTAGTGTTGATATAATATATATTGTTTCTCAAAAAAAGCATCACAATCAAAGACACCTCATAGCNAAAAAAAAAAAAATCTCATCCAACCAAGTAAAATGACAATTGAGATCAAAATTGAAATTGTGAAAGAATCAAAATGGAATAATTGAAATTTATGTGATATAAAACTAATAAAATATTAATTCCCAATATTCTAGTTAGAAACAATGATTTAAATACCGTACCGTACCGGCCGGTAATACCGGATACCGGCCATTGGTACGGTACGATTACACTCAAAATACCCTCAAAATACTGGATTTACGTTTATACCGATTTGTATCAAAATTATACTGTAAACACCGATAAAATAAAATAATAACATAAAATAATTCGATAGAAGACATAAAATAATAACATAAAATACGGAATTATACCGTATATACCGGAATTACACTCAAGAGACCATTTTAATTCGATACCAATAACATAAAAATAATAACATTGACCAAGTATTTTGGCCACATAGCTCTCACTTTAGGCAGTAAAAGTGCTAAGCCCAATGGAGCTTTGAAAAGCTGAAACATCTTCCGAATACAATTAAACAAAAAGAAAAATTAATTTTAACAAGAAAATTAAATTAAAATTTTGAGAAAAAAAACAATAATATAAGTCGATCAAGGGCATTTTGGTCCTCCTTCCTTGGTCTTCCAGTTGTTGTAGCACGAGCAAACGGCTTTATTACCATAATACCCCGGGGGCACGCAAAGGCACTTTCTACAACACTTGTTGCAGAAGAACAAACACGGTTTCTTGTACTGCGTCTTTTTGCATCTCCTCGAACATTCAGAACCACATTCTGGTAATTTTGATGTGCATGTATCCCGATTAGTTATTGTCGAATAATTATAGCTTTAGAAAAATAATTAGGTCTATTCATACAAAAAATTATTAATAAAGTATGGCAAGTCGACTCGTCTATTGAATAGACTGTCTCATACAATAAATTGGGATACAATAAAACCAAATGAGAGTGAGAGTGAGCAAATTTTAGGCTTACGGCCGATCTTCAAGCTGCCCGGACCATATCGTGCCTGAAATATTGAGACACAAATATATGTTAAAAGAAACAAAAAAAAAAATGACAAAAAAATGAAATTAATTATTAATTAGTCCCTCTAACAACCTTGTATTTTAATTTTTCATTTTATAAATGGCGAAATTGCAACCCCGGAGGTGACTAGAAATCCGAGGGGTTGTGTGTAATTTCAAAAGATAAGTGGGTGGTTTAGCTAAAAATTCATTGGGGGCAATTTTGGTAAGTGAAAATATATCCAGTACCGAGTTAGACTCATTAACTAAACAAAATGAAAACCGAACTCGAGCCGTAACGAACAAAATTATATATAACAAATTACGCAAAAAATTGTATTTTCGAGTTTTAACGAACCGAATTTGACTATGATCGTTTCATCTAAATTTACAATCAGCTCATCTCGTTTAATAATTCTAATCGGCATTTAAAGGAACTCACCGAGTCAATGTGGTATTGGCTAGCCAGTGCCTGCGAAATATATAAACCAAATAAGAACCACAAATATATAAATAAATTGTGCAGATTAAGGCCATGTTTGGTGTTAAGAATACATACCGTGGTGGAGAGGGTGGAGATGGCAATGAGTGCGAGGAGAACAACAAGAGCAGTGAGCTTAGCCATTGCCATGCCACCAAACAGAGCCTAAAAGAGAGGCAGCTTAATTTAGTTATTTGATTTTAATTATTTTTAATTACTGACTGAGGATGAAGTTCATGATTTGGGGTATATATATAAGTGGAGGACTGGAGGGATATAATGGTCTTATCGAGGCGTCAAACTTTATTTAAAAATTGAATTAATTAATTATCGCTTTTGATCCATGTCTGGAGTCCATAATTCCCAGACGCCACTAACGTGGCCACTGGCCATACATGTGAGGATTTTCTTTATTTACACTTTTCTTTTTATTGGTTTAATTTTGAATAAAGAATGTATTTTGTCTGACATTTTAACGATTTTGTCTTTAATTTTTTTTTTCTTTTCATTTAATGTTCATACTTATATCTTCTGTTCTATATGAGTTATATTTATAGAGTAATGTTGTAGAGTCAATTTTGACAATTTAGGTTACAAATCTAGTGTAAATGTATTATTTTTTAATTTTTAATTATATTTACACTTGAGTTGTAACTCAAGTTGTCATCCAGGTGGGCTAAAATAGCATTACTCATATTTATGATGTGGATCTACGAATTAAAGAATTAACTTATAAATTGTACAATATCAGTGTACTACACTGATACTTGTTAATAAAATTATTTTTAAAATTAAATAATAATAACAATAACAATTGTTTAAAATTAAATATATGTATTTATTAAGCTAATTTGAGGTTTTCATGGAAACTAATGAGCCGATTGAGAGTTTCCAAAATAAATCAAGGTTATATTAGTCAACCAATACCATTACCAAATGTTCCAATACAACTTAAGGGTTATATTAGTCAAACTATTATAGAATTACCAAGTTAGTTTTTCAATATTTTTGGAATGTCCGAACATAAAATTATTGATTTAGAATAATGTTATTTTTTTATCCAAACCAAACTACGAAGCATGTTTTTACGCCAAGTAAAATTTCGAAGCATGCTAGACTACCACTTAAGCTCAGCGCATTCTACAGTTATATATAGAGAGATAGGGGGATATATAGGGGATAATAACTTAAACTAAGGAAAGAGGTTTTGTCGATCTTTACACCAAAAAATGATATTACATAATTGACAGATTCTTGTGTAATACAAGGATGTGAAGATTCGTATTAATGTATCCCTATGTTATCACTACAAAAAATTGTTATATTACAACAAAAAATCCTATGTAATATATTCTAATGGAAATTCTAACGGATATTCCAATAGTATAGTTTCTGTTGAAATCACGAAAATATTTCGTTGGAATGTATTTTAATTTTTATTGGAATTTTAGATGGAATTTGATGATTCCAACGGCTATATTTCCAATGGCTTTCGCTGTTGGAATATGCAATTTCCGTTGGAATTTTTATTTCCACCACCGTTGGAATCGCCATTGGAATTTTTATTTCCACCACCGTTGGACTCGTCAAAATCCAACTGAAATTCCAATGAAAAACTCAACGGAATATTTTTGTAGGAATTTCCGTTGGAATAATTCCAACGAAAATAATAACATTGAAATATCCATTGGAATATATTTCCGCTAGTGTTTCATCATTTTCTTATAGTGTATCAAATATTATACTTTTATTTATATTGTCTAAAGTATACCATTTTTAAATAAAAGTATATATTCTTTTAAAATAATATATTTTCCTAATGGCTAGATCGACCAAATATTTAATAATATTATTTTTATTNAACGATATGCGGTGAGCTACTATGTAGATATGCTGGAATGCGCTGCATTATTAACTGTGATGCAATTTAATCAACAGTGGTATAATTATTCATACTTGTTCGATAGATTTATATATTTTTATACTCAGATATTATACTTTAAAATCAATATGAACAAAAATACTATGTAGTTTAAGTATGTTTTTTTATTATAAAACATCATTGTCTAATCATTAGATAAGAGCAAAATTTGAATTTAATCAAAATTTATAAGAATCCTCAAGTAGAATACCACATTAATATTGCAAATTTTCTATTGCACGTCAAGAAAACTGGAAGAATCGAGAGAAATGAGTGCGATCCATGCACATAAAACGCACTATAAGAGAGTGAGTCTAGGTGCAACTTAGGAAGGTTCTATTCAAAAATCAATTGATTATGGAAAGAGTAACACATAATTAAGTTAGACCTATTTTCTATTATAAAACAACTTACAAGTGATATTCTAATAAAACTCACACGCTATTTTTTCTTTTTTCATAGAATCATGGCCAATTGTAATAAGTTCGTTGTAATTTATAATCTCGTCAGAACATAAATAATGGGATGATTGTTTCAGTCCGTATCGTCACATGCATGGTAGTTGTTTTTTTGTACTATATATTAAAAAAAAATAATAACAATATGGTATAGTAGTTGGTCTTGGGAGGTCTGTTATGATTCTTTTTCCATGTGGTACGTGGAGGTACTTTAATCAGCTTTGGGATTAGGAATCAAATAATTGAGGGCACATGCTTGGTTAGGATGCGCAAGAACATCAAACACAAGCACAGCACAAAATATGGCACGATTTTCGGCACCGGCCAAGGTGAAAAATAGTGCCACCACGTTGGACTATGTTAATTTGGAAGTTGTACATTTGACTTCCCATTTATTGTTGTGCAAAATCTTAATTTAGATTGAACTTGTGTTTGTGTAGGTACGACAATGAAGTTATCTGCATTTTTGGATTGAGTATATTAAAATTAGACGGATTTAGTGTCAGGTTTAGATATGGATTTACTGTTGGAACATTAGGTCCTCTTTGTTTTTTAGCTTTTTCATGTGAAAAGAGCTTTTTTATCTATTTTAGTTGTTTGACTTTTTTAATGAGCGGAAAGAAGTGTTTGGTAAATAGCTATTACACATAGTTTTTTGGGACAATCCGCCAATTTAAAAAACGCTGCTTAGAGCAGCATTTTGATCCAGCTGTTCTTTATTTAAAAATTAAAGTCTTTAATGCCCTTATTTTTGTCTCCCTTAAATTTTAGAAACAGTCAAATGTTTTTTTGTGTCTTCTTCTGCCCTAATAACAGAGTTTCTGTTTCTGTGAAACCAAATTGTATACGTTAGTTAAATTCTGTCTTTATGCTGTTAATCATGAATCTTCAATTTTTTAAGTTTCATCTACTTGCAAATGGAATAGCTTGAGGGGTTAGTGTGTCACAACTCTCATTATAGATTCATGTGGATGAAAATTAATTCTGCAAATGGCTTCAGACTGTGACATGAAGCATTATTAACTATTATTTGTTTTATGAACCATCATTATTTGTATTTTGATCCTTTTTATGAGTATATATATTTTTTGCTTGAATTTTGAATTGGGTTTGAAATTTGTGAGACTTGTTAAGGTTAGGAGATTACATGACCTATTTTTGTATTGATATGAATTTGCAAGACTTGTAGTTGATCTTTTCATTATGAAATTTTTCATTTTATTATTAATATTTTTTATCATATTCAAATCACTTTAATAAATATTTAAAATAGTAATTATTTATATTTCGTAAATAATTATAAGTTGAACATAAATTAGAATGATAAAGTATGTTGGATGTCCTTATAAGTAATTTTACATGTTAACAGCTAATTAAAAAAGTTAATTTTACCAAACATTTTTGTACAAACCGTTGACACGATCAACTAGTCAAAACAGCTAATGCAATCTGCTGGTCAAAACAGCTAATAGAATCAGCTAACAGCTAACAGCCGATTACCAAACAAGGCCTAGGTCGATGAGTTCAGGTTTAGTGCATTAACTACAATCCGATTTGTTTACAAAGTACATTTACTCGCAAAATATTTAAAATTAATATAAAATTTATATTTTTCAAAGTTCTATAATTATAAAATTATGCGTGCCATATGTGCAATGTTATTTGGCCTTGTTTGTTTTGTTTGTATGAGGTTTGATCTACAATAAAACACGAGCCAGGGTATAAATTTTTATTTATCAATACCAGAATACATTAGCAACCTCAATTTATAATTGTTAAATATCTGTTAGCAAATCGACTTAACAATTACCGAATACTTCTAGCCAAGTTAATTAGTTGGCCTGACACTACACAAATATCATTCTTCACTTTCCATTATATCAATCCAATTGGCTCGCAATTGGACTGAAATATCTTGGCCATTCTCAAAACTCAGAAAGTCGGTGGTGCCATATTTTTAACAATTTGCAATATATTGGATCATGAAACAATCTTTATATGAATAATATTTTCTTGCTATTTTGTATCGAGTTCCACGGTTAAAATTATACGATGAGGTACTAGTCTCTTGAATTAGGTAAGAATTTAAAATAAACTGAAGTACACATTAAGATTATCAAATCTCCACATGAAGTGATCTATGAATTGATATACTAATGATGACAAATGTCTCAAATATATTTATTTCATTATATAACGTGTAAAAAACTATTATTTGTGAATAATTATGAATAATTTGATAAACCATATAACATTTGATTGTTGGTTTGTATGTATGTCAAAATCTTGTATTTTCAAAATCTACAATTAATTCATATATTTGCACATTATTTATGTTATATTATGTCAAAATAGCATTTTTCACTATATATAGTATGAATGTGATGCACATAATTTACTTTCATTTGAATCTTGTAATTAAAATTTTTACCATAAATTTTACATTTGCAGGACCTGTATATGGATTGATCCATACATCTTTTAATATCAAGAGCATGATGTATAATAAATTAATAATATCCTTTGACATATAGAAAAAGGAGTCGAATTATTGGATTCAAGTTAGTTAAGAGGGTGAGGGCAAGCATGTGCGGCCATCTGACTCTGAGGCGAGCACATGAGAGCAAAATTTGGTGCTCGAGAAAAACAACTGCCCGCATGATGCGCTTGCATAAATTCCCTTTTCTTCAGCCACATGTCCTTTGTTTTTATTCATCATTAATTTTTTATGTTCTTTTTTCAAGAAAGAAGACTCGAATTATATATAATAGTGGTGGTATCATTGGGCTCAGATGCGCAAATACGGAAGATGTAAATTAAAACACTGGAGTA